TATATGATATTATATGATATTATATTATATATACACATGAACCCCATTTAAGATCACCATAGTATCCCAGAGAAGATGGGGCACTGCCGCGCCTCGGCCAGCTCGTCTTTCACCGTTGCAATGTCCAGCAGCAAACGCGTCCGCTCGAAGTGGCTGGTCATGGCCTCGATTCTCGATCCAAAAAATGGACGGAAAATGGTGGTGATATGACCCTATAACAATGGTTAATAATGGCTTATTACCCTATAATCGTGGTGGACAAATGGCTTATTTAATGGTGAATAATGGTTAATAATGGTCAATAATGGTTAATAATGGTTAAATAATAATGGTTGATAAATATTAACCATGGTTAAGAATGATGAATGATGACAATTACCATCCACAGTATGTCTAGATGTGTGGGTCCGCACTCGCCACATATAAAATGGTCCTGAATCATGTATATCATCTACAATATCTATCCTCTGGTAATTTAACATAGCTATTGAAAATGGTGATTTATAGTGGATTTTCCCATTAAAAATGGTGATTTTCCATAGTTATGTTAGTTTACCAGAGGGTATCAATATCTATGTATTTACACACATGTTGATATGCTTCGGTGGATGTTCAGGGCCAACGCGGTTCACCCATGTCCCACCAAACTATAGATGTTTTTGCGGTTGCCAGGCCGAAATCAAACAGGAAAAGTGGGAACTAGTGATGTTACTTGGGTGTGTCTGGAAATGCGGTATACCTAGGTATACCACCAAGATATCTACTTTAATTAATGGGAAACATGGTGACATTTTGGTTTTGGGGGTGCCCTATTTTCAGACAAACTAACGTTTTTAAAAAATTGAACGTAATCAAGAAATCTGGTGAAGTGACTGACTGACAAAAAAACAATACAAAGGTATGCAAGAATGTCAACAACAGGTGTTGTTCATGGTTTTTATAAGAAAAGAGAAGCCCCTACAATCAGGTCTTCTTCATCCGCGAATTGGCAGTTTCAGAAAGGGCAAATGGCAGCCTTGGGTGGAAACAACGGATGATTTGGGGGTCCAGTTTGGGTAGACCCAAACTTCATAGAACCAGCCCATCATTACATCATGATATCTTCGAATCTGCAATGATCGATCATGACAAGTTGCCTAGCTGCCACTAGCTATATGGAGCTTTCCTAACATGGCGGTACCTCCAAATCATCCCATTTACAGATTGGGATTGGCCATGAAATAAACCATCCAGCTATTGGGTACCCCCATTGATGGAAACCCCATTAATCGGATGTTCCCATGTCAAAAAAACCTCCTTTATCGGGAGGTACTTACTACCCGGGTTTCACCGAAGACGGTGTGGTTCTAGCGGCCTATCCGAGGTCTTTAGGGCCGAAGATGTTTTTGTTCTACGCAACGTCATGGAACGTCATGTCAGGTGATGTAAGGTGATGTAGTGTGATGTGATGTAATTAACATATTCAAACATGCAGATTAGATTTGTGTACATATATATGTATATATATATATATTATTATATCTATAAAATATTATTTCTATATAATTATATATACATATACATGTAATACATAGCCTTCCTCGGCAGTGATCCACTGACCTCCCAGTGTCGCGTCTTGCCCGGAGCTCGCCAAAGGACAGTGGCCAGCTCAAAGCAACACCAAACGCGCGAGAAGGGCATGGCCAAGGGATCCAAAATCAGTAGCACACCGGAGCACAGCTGCATGGCACCTAGAGAAAATGGGGGAAGATGGGGAAGCTATAGATTAAGCTATAGATTCAATAGATGGGCAAACATCGATGGCAAAACAATATTGGCAAATTAATTGGGTTTTCTATCAAGGGAAGCTATCGATATCCAAATATGTTTGGGAAGACGTATCTTGAAATTTCTTGATTTACTCCAAATGGCAAACAATCTTGGCAATTCATCTATATCTGGTCGAATTATGTATGTGGGCACCTAATGTGATGGCCCCTCGTGGAAACCTCAAAGATTCCAACTAATCTCAATGGAGCTGAAGGGAAAATCTACAGGAAGCCATGGTTTTTGTACCATTAAATATAGCAGTTACCTGTAGGTTTTTCTGAAATCAATACCTCTCAATGAAAATTTAGTCTCCAATTTCCATGAGGCTTCCGATATCAATGAAAAACTATTGATGATACTACAGGTAATGCTACATGTATGAAGTTGATAGATCTTGATACTTGATAAACTCTCCTTGTCGCTAATAGTTCCTGGAATTTCACTATCAATGAAAAGGTACAGCAGTCCCCCCTTCCGCAACACTCATCACTTAAAAATTTCGGACAGGATCGAACAGATCTACCAAAATTGCTTCATTGGTCCTCATGATACTGTGTCCGAAATATGGATTTGCCAGAAAATTGGGCACCCCAAAATTTGCGTTCGCAGTGAACAGGCCATTTGCCATATGAATTGACTGCCATTTTTTGGGGTCCATCCCCCATTTTAAGACAGACCCAGGCACGAAAGAAGGAGGTTTCCCGCGGATTGGAATGCAAGTCACTCCCCAGTTCATGCTGGTTGTTGGCATAGGCGCATACCTCGGCTTTCAAAAAGGGGCAGTGGATTTTAGTTCTTCAAATTTCCATGGAAAATACATCTGAGTTGTTCTATGAATATACTAATTTATATATACAGTAGCCAAAAAAAACATGACTATGTCAATGTGTCTGGCAACCTCTAGTTTGATGTACAATTGGATAATGATCCTCACCAAGTGCCAGCTACCCCCACTTCGACGGTGACGATCCCGTTCTTCCATCTAAGTTGAGATGGTGCAAGAATGAACTGGTCAGAAACCATTTAAGTCTTGGCGCCACAATCATTATGAGCCATGGCCAAATCGTTTAAAAAAAACAATCCGTCAATCAACCCATTTGTTAAAATCATTGAGGAACAATCGCAAACACGGTCGAATCCATCAATCAACTAAGAATCAACCAACACACACGAAAATCAATTGTTCCCAACAGACCAGCTACTTTTGGAGCGAAACTATTGTTTTGAAAATTTGAATGACCCATTTTCACCCAAAAAGTGGCTATGAGTGTCCTGAATGGGTTGGAGCAACACTGCCCCAGGTGTGGTTTTTGGGGAAGGGGAAGGTTCAACTAAAAATAAATAGAATGTTTATTCTACAAAAAAGAAGGTGGTTCACAAACAATTTGAAGATTTATCCCAATAATGGAGAATGTCACCTACCCTTCTAGAAGGGTCCAACCCCCCCACGTTGGTATCATGAACCATGTTCAAATACACCCAAACCATGTCAAGTCGGTCAAATCTCCGTTGATTCCCACTATAAATCCCACTAGAAATCCCCATGTTTCATGGTGAAATCCCCATGAAATTCTCAGTAAATCCCAGCACCACGACCTCCAAGGCACCCAATAGGCTGCCTCGGTCTGCCGCACGGCACCGTGCCCGTCCAGGCAGGTGATGAAATCCACAATGGCCTCGAAGCACCACTTCTACGTGGTAAATCATCTATTATTATAATAATAGGAGGTTAACATCTAACGTGGTCAGATAACCATCTATTAATAATAGTGAATACAATAATCATCTATCTAATAGTAACTATCTAATAATATCTGGCCTGGTCAGTATTATTGTTAACATCTATTAATAATAGGAGCTTTGTAGCTGGGAAAATCATCTATATATTAGTAATAAGTCTACATTTCTATTCTTTGTTAATATTGTAGGTCTACATTGTAGGTACCCAAACAAACATGTGAATATCTGGTTGGTGGTGCAATAACCATCTTGAAAAATATGGAAGTCAATGGGAAGGATGACATCCCATATATTATGGAAAATAGAAAATGTTTGAAACCACCAACCAGATATAATTTCTATTATTTGTTGAAATTGTTGTAGGTCAGTATATTCATATCTTGTATATATATATATATATACATATATGTGTATATATATATGTATATATATATAGGGTGAAGGCTGGAAGTTCCCCGGAAGCCAATTGCATTTTATTTGTGTGGATATGGAAAATGTTGATTCTACACTGTGTTTTACGGTGTTTTATGCTCTTCTCTCAAATTGTTCGATCAGTAAAAGTTGCAATGTCGGCGCGGATAAACTTGACGTTTGTCCGCGCAGAAAAATGATAAATCTACATCTTCCATGGATGGCCAAACATGTGTGCAACATCGAAACCATTGGAATTGCGGTTTCATGCATTTTTGGTCGTTTTGTTGACAACTAGAAAATGTCATAATTCACTGGAGAATCATGGACGAAATGAACATCATACCTTTTTCATTTTCACGTCCACAAAGGCTTTATGAAGCAGTTGCTTGGAGCGAGAGCACCATTGGTCTTCTCACGGTGCAGTCGCAGTAACAACAGCTTCAACGAAGCTACATCCTCAAGGTTTCAACAACTCTCAATCCAACGCGCTCCACATGACGTTATTACACCCTCCCCACCCCCCACCCCCCTTCTGTAAACAACAACGATACTTGCAACGTAACAACATCTTCAACGAAGCAACATCCTCAAGGTTTCAACAAGTCTCAATCCAACGCAGTCCACATGACGTTATTATTCCCACCAGTAGTACCACCATATCCAGCTTCCACCCTTTACCTGGCCTCCAGCTGTTCACGTTGGCTGTTGAGCTCACTGGACCTGGTGAGCTCTTTCTCCAGGTCCTGGAGCTAGCGATGAAGCCGTGAAGTCGGATGGCCTTCCAATTTCTATAAGTTACAGGTCCTGCAATGGCTCAGGGTTTCACAATGATTCTCCCATGTTTTCTGCTCCTTTGTGGCTACTGTACTTGTGTTCCAAGTCTTTCCGATCATTTTTTCGGCACCCTTCGTGGATGGGGATTGGTTGTGGATTGGTTCTCCCTTTCTGCTGTGCTGGTCACTTTATTTTCCACCATTTTCCACAAATTTTGATTGATTCTTCCATGTTTTCAATACTGGGCTCCTCTGGGTGTTCATGCTGGCAATATCATCACACCATGACATATCACAACCACGACTCTCTTTCGAATACGGGGCACCACCTCCCTCCAGCCGCGTGTGCCTGCTGCGATGCTCGCAGCTGTACCTGTGGGGCAGACTTTAGGTCCTGGACATTTTACCGCTTGCACCCAGTGAAAAATGCTCAGACTCTAGATTTCAACGCTTCACTTTGTAGCCCCATGTCCATGTCAATGAAAAATGCCAAAGAAATCCAAAGAAATTCGGCTGCGAAATGACTGACGCTTTCAACATTGTGCGACCTGCCTGCAGCTGCTGCAGTTGAACTTCCAACTCAGCACACTTCATCTTCTCTTTTTCCAGGTCCTTAGACAAAATGCAAGCGGAAAGTCCACTCAGTCTAGGCAAAATCATCACCTAGAGTCAATTCTCTCTTCAACCACCACCACGCTCCCAAGACTGATCAGAATGACTTTCAGAACGTCTCAGGGCTGGCCTCGACTGCTTGTTTGGAGGCTTGTAGCTGAACCTGGACGAGGGAAACTGGGCCACAACTTGGATAACTTGGTCTCTCAGCCTGAACCCTGACGTCAAGCCACAAGTCACCGCAGTAGAAGCGAAAAATCACCCTGGAAAGTCCGGCCATGGGATGACTTTCCCAGCCCCAGTGGTTTGGAGATGTTTGGAGGTTCCTGCCTCCAGCTGCTCCCGCTGAGTGTCCAGTTCACTGAATCGGGTGCTCTCTTGCTCCAGCTCCTGCTGAGGAGCTCCAACATGAAGACTGCTAGACTTAGCGAGGTCAGAGTTGTGCACAAAAAGGTCACCACCATCACCGTCACCGTCACCGTCACCATCACCATCACCACCATCATCATCACCATCACCATTACCACCATCACCATCACCATCACCATCACCATCATCATCATCATCATGCTTTTTTTTCTCATGTGCCGCTGCTGTCATCATATCACTGGCGTTCGCATGCTCCTCCGACATCTGTTTGGATGCTTGGGGTTGCCAGAAAACAATACTACACAGTTACATAGCTTGAATAAGATGTGCTCCGTGGCCACCTGGGAAGTCATCCTCATTCAGTGAGCTAAGGATTTCTGTTTAGCATTGTGGCTTGTATGTCATGTAGCTTCCAATAAGCAAATAGTCAGACTGTTCAAACATTTCACTGATCTGTATGCTTTGGGCACAAATGCACAAACCAAACTGATTCTATCCAATCTGGGAATCTGGTAGGGACAAGCGCTACCGAAGGAAAACCGGAAGACCATGCATAAGCCCGAATATCTTTGGGCAAGCAACAAATGGTCCCTTACTGTAACTCTCAGGTCGAAGTTTGACATCCGGATTGGCGCAGGGCCTTGAGCCGTTGATCCTGCAACTGCTTCTCCAGCTTCTGCAAGCAGTCCTTCCAACCGACGCTGTGTTGTAGACACCAACCCTGAAAAGAAACTGTTGGTTCACAAGCCAAAATTTCCAATCCCGTGAAGAAGTTACTTGAAGCTTAAGGGATACGAACAAAAGCTACAGGGGCGAATTGCAAATGCGCACCTTGTTCAAGCCACCACCATCATCATCATCATCATCACCAGCATCATCACCATCATCATCACCATCATCATCATCACCATCATCATCATCACCATCGTCATCACCATCATCATCACCATCATCACCATCATGACCATCATCACCATCATCATCATCACCATCACCATCATCACCATCATCACCATCATCATCACCATCATCATCACCACCATCACCATCATGACCATCATCACCATCATCATCATCACCATCACCATCATCACCATCATCATCATCACCACCATCATCATCACCATCATCATCACCATCATCATCATCACCATCATCATTATCATCACCACTATCATCATCATCATCATCACCATCATCATCATCACCATCACCATCACCATCATCATCACCACCATCATCATCATCACCATCACCATCATCATCACCATTATCATCATCACCATCATCACCATCATCACCATCATCATCATCACCATCATCATCATCATCATCATGGCAGGTTCGGTTTGCATCTGGTCATGCCCAAGAACCATCGAAAAACACTTGAGGTCGACAACGCGTGGGTCATCATCCATCAAGAAATGAACGGGACGGAGTGGAGCGTGCGTTCGCTCAAAAGCTCACATTCCACAAGCTGTCCTGCATGCGGAACTTTCAAAAGAAAACGGAGAAATTGCCACACCTCAAGTTACTTCAAGTTACCCAGGCCTGCGGGACCGTGACCTGAGAGCAAAGCCGCGTGCTGAGTGAACTGCACAAGGTGTCTTAACATTTGTCTGAAGACCTGGCCTTTTCACGCACAAGGCAAGGACACACCGCGCCCATCTGCTACCAATACACGCACAACAGAAATCTGACTCTGAGCCAGAAGCACCCTGTGCGCAAAGAGAAAATGACGGGTCGCAATGCTGGTCAGATTCGTGTGCCGCCCCAAATGTCATGTGACGGCAGCTTGTGTGCGACATGAACTTTTTCTCAAGTGCGTCTAGTTCAACTACTCTGTGACTATGTAGTAAATAATACCACCCAGCCATTACCGTAACGACCATTCACAACCAGCCCGCATCAACAATCATCCGCAGCAATCTTCCACAAATGTGACTGGAAATACCTGATAGCAAAGCTCCAAGTGACGTGAAACAAAATTAGCCAGCCTTCGCAGAAATGCCAAAAAGTTGCAGGAGATCTTGTTCTCGTCCTTGGCGGAAGAGTCATCAACTTCAGCCTCAAGGGATCAAAGTGGTCGGTTTCACTTCGGAGTGTGAGGGCACTCGGCGCCATACGAGTACCACACAAGAAAGGATTCAAGCAGCTGCAAAGCCCAATGTAAAGCAAACAAAACATGAAGAAGTGTATCAGATTCCATTATTCCACTGAGACAGCTGGGATTCCAGCAAAACCATAGTTCATCGGAATGATTGTCGGAATGACGGCTCAAATCCCAATGGATGCATGGATGCATGGATGCATGCATGTGTATGCATGTGTATGCATGTGTATGCATGTGTATGCATGTGTATGCATGTGTGTGCATGTGTATGCATGTGTATGCATGTGTGTGCATGTGTATGCATGTGTATGCATGTATGCATGTATGTCTGTATGTGTGTGTGTGCATGTACGTGTGCATGTATGCATGTATGTCTGTATGTCTGTATGTGTGTGTGTGTGCACATGTCCGTGGGCATGGATGCATGTATGTCTGTATGTGTGTATGTGTGCATGTATGCATGTATGCATATATGTCTGTATGTGTGCATGTACGTGTGCATGTATGCATGTATGTCTGTATGTGTGTGTGCATGTACGTATGCATGTATGCATGTATGTCTGTATGTGTGTGTGCATGTACGCGAGCATGTATGCATGTATGTCTGTATGTGTGTGTGTGTGCATGTACGTGTGCATGTATGCATGTATGTCTGTATGTGTGTGTGTGCATGTACGTGTGCATGTATGCATGTATGTCTGTCTGTGTGTGTGCATGTACGTGTGCATGTATGCATGTATGTCTGTATGTGTGTGTGCATGTATGCATGTATGCATGTATGTCTGTATGCGTGTATGCATGCATGCATGTATGCATATATGTCTGTGTGTGTGCGGGCATGTACGTGTGCATGTATGCATGTATGTCTGTATGTGTGTGTGTGTGCATGTACGTGTGAATGTATGCATGTATGTCTGTATGTGTGTGTGCAAGTATGCATGTATGTCTGTATGTGTGTGTGTGTGCATGTACTTGTGCATGTATGCATGTATGTCTGTGTGTGTGTGCATGTACGTGTGCATGTATGCATGTATGTCTGCCCCACCCCCCACCCCCCCACCCCCCATCTCTATACCATAACGATGTTTATAGTACATGACAAAACTGAGGGTTCCTGGAAGCTCCGGGGAACCCCCAGCCTTGACCCTATATATATATATATATGTATGTATATCTGTGTGTATTCACCTGGTTAATCATCTATCGATATATATCTATAGTCATCTCGGAATTGATACGATATGCAAATGTCCAAATTTTGGCACGAAAATGGAAATGTCTTTGGTAATTCCGGAGAAGATCCGCCATTTTTGGATAGTGGTCAGGCGGTTATAGTTTTTCCATGTGCATACATATAAATATACATGCATATATCAATATAATATATAATTACATATGTTCTACATAATTGTATACATATATATATCGGTATATCTATTTATATTTATACCTATTTATCTATATCTTTAATATTTATTTATTATATGTACATTAAATATACATATATATATGCAAATATGTATGTATGTATATTTGTCAAGATGTATATGTGTATATTGTATTGTACATTCGTAAAGATGTATATCTGTATATACGTATAAATGTATACATGCAAATTTTTGATATGTACTATGATGTATGCATATATGTATATATGCAAATATGTGTATACGCATTGATGTACAAATTCAAATGCGAATGAAAAAATGCATATGAATGCATATAAATGAAAATGTATACATATGTATGTACAGACATGTACAGTATGTTTATTTGTATATATGTTTTTTTGTATATAAGTATATTTGTATATATGGATGTGTATATGTGTATTTATGTGGTTTTTATAGTTGTAATTATGTATATATGTGTATGTATATATGTGTACATGTTTAAACATGTATATATATATGAATATTATACTGTATATCTGTACTGTATATCTATATAATATCATATATATATATATGTGTCTGTGTATATACATATATATGTACATATGTATATATGTAAACGTGCTTGTATATTTCCACATGTGTTTGTATATACATTTACACATGTTTATTAAAAAAAAAATGTATACATATGCAATAATATGTATATTAATATTAAGGGTGATTTAAACATGAGGTGTGAAAAGTGGACTGTAGGTGGGTGACCATTCTGGTGCTAGTATTTGGAGATAACTGCTGTCAAATCTCAAACCATTGTTTTACTTCAGTCCGGGCTAAGCACTGATTTCCTGAGATGATCAAAAGGAACAGATCCGGTTGATTTCACCATCAAATATTAATGTAAATGGGAAACATGATGATAAACCGTTGAATTCGGAGGCGCCCAAATTTCAAACAAACCCATAAGTTGAATTGCCGCCGACTCGGCCCGCTGGAGCTTCGCGGTCGATGTTCCGCCAAATCTCTACCCACAAAGTCTCCAAGCAACAAAGACATGGCCTTGAAATCCCCATTAAAACCGTCTTCCGATTTTAAGGCCATCCCAAAAGTATGAACGACGGTAGGGATCATCATCCGATTTTAAAGTTGGAAATAATCACGTTTGGTGTCATTACCAACATTTGAATTTAGTGATGGTCAGTGGGAGCCATGCACAAATGATATCCACATAATCTGTTGTTTGAATATGTTAGAATCCTTATACTTGCTCTTTGACGTACCCCAATGTAGATGTTTCAATCAGCATGGTTCAAAGTTATACCCCAAATCACCACGCAATTTGGGCATTGCTCTTCTGGGTTTGTCTGAAAATGAGCAAGTTTTTATAGTTCTAAGGAATCAGGAGAATGACTTGTAATTTTAAACAAAGAAGGCACCTGAATTACAAGCTGGTTTGTGACCCTATCTAACTACTTAGTTCCCCAAAATGTCGCATGGCATACAAATGAATCTACCTATCTAGGGGGACCCTGCCTGTACCCCACACCTCCCGGATCGCCACGGCACTTCCTGCCACGCATGCGACACAAACCATTTGGGCATCTGCGCCCCTGGCTCCTCAGAGATCAGCTCAACGTAGCCTGCGCAGGTGATTCTTGCAGTAGCAGCAATGACCGGTGCGTAATCAGCAATCATGAGGATGAGTATGAAACAAATCAACAGCAGCCGGTGCATCAATGGAGAAACGCGTTATCTTTATCACAATCAGTGCTATCAACTGTTCCGGCAACAGACCTCAAACAGTGTGGGGGGAGTAGGCGGATAATGTATTTTAATGTTGTTGTTGATGTTGATGTTGATGATGATGATGATGATGATGATGATGATGGTGATGATGACGATGACGATGATGATGATGATGATGATGATGGTGATGATGATGATGATGATTGTGGTGATGGTGTTGGTGATGTTGATGGTGTTGATGATGATGGCGACGATGATGATAGCAAATGAATAGGTCTCTGCCAACTTAGTTTGACGCTGACAATGTAGGGACAGGCTCAACAACGTCATTTGGAAACAAAACGAACGCAACAAGACGGTGCGAGATATCGGAAGACAAGACAAGACAGACGGAACAAAGCGACACAGGACTAAGACATCTGACTCCGGTGCATTCAATGCATCACTGTTACACATTTCCTGACTGCCAAGAGAATGTCCCTAGGAACAGATATCAACTGTCTTTGAAATCATACACTTGAGAACATTTCACATATGGAAACATGTCTTTACCTAAAAATACAGCAACAACTGCCGACATCTGCGGACAACTTGTTTTAACTGCGGACAGCGGGTTGTCGTCAGTGATGACGGTTCCAGGGCAACGATCGAGAACGGATCGCGCAACCGCAGATCATCAAAAGATGATGCACGCCAAGACGGCGCGCGATGATCAGCGCCTTGAGCTAGAAGTGCGTGGTTCTTATGTCTCGCATAGAATGTTCTGCTCTGAGATGTTTACCCACAAGACACTAGAAGCCATACAAGCCGAAAAACAGGAAGCACGGTAAAGAAGACGATGCAAAACAAGAAACAAGACAAGACAATACAATGCCGCGCCCCAGAACCGCGGCGCAGACTTTGTGCGAACCTGCCCAGTCGAAATGCACATCAACATTTCACAAGAGCCATTGTATACGTAAATTGACAGGAAAAATGCCGCGGCCCAGCTGGACCACCCTGATCAAGCACCGGCCTTTACAACTACCGTAAGAACCCCTCAGTGTGGACACACTGTTTGGGGAAGGATTGTTATTTACACAGACTGGTTCAAACATGTGTCAGTGTTACCAGTAAAGTGTCCTGTGTCTTTGTGGGCTTATGTATTGATCTAATTTATTTATATATTCATTTAAAAAAAAACATGTAAGTTGAATATCAGGGTTGTCTTACACATATACAATATCAAAATGATTTTGAGCTTGAAAGACCCTCTGGTAAACTAACATAGCTATGGAAAATCACCCTTTTTTCATGGGAAAATCCAATATAAATGGTCATTTTCAATAGCGAACTGTTAGTTTACCAGAGGGTACCTTTCTGATTTTACCCACACGGCATTCTCCGAGCAGCTGCAACGATCCGCGCGGGTGGCAGGGCGCAGAACCCAGTCCTCCGGGCCATCCACGGGTACCATGGAGGTATCTGGTTCCATGGTTCCATGCCAAGGTTTTGACCCTTTCATAAACAAACATAGCTATTGAAAATTGTCATTTATAGATATTTAATGATATTTGTAGTTGAATTACCCATGAAAAATGGTGATTGTTCATAGTTATGTTAAATTACCAGAGGGTCAGGTTTCAGGTTTTCACTACGATTGAAGATATGGATTGAGATACCAACTTTATCGATTATCAATGCGATATCAAGCAACATCAAGCAACAAGTTTAGTCCACCCTTGTCGGACAAACAAAATATCTGGACCTACTCCAAAATTGCTTTGATCATGGGATAGTCACCAATACAGTTGGCTTTGCATTGCCTCCTTGTTCAACCTCACTACTTAAGCTTTGCAAATGTGTGGGCCAACGGAAAGAATGGGTAGTTGGCGGGTGAGACTTGACCACGTGTGCCATCGGTCACAGGTCTGTCAGATGGTGGATTTTTTACAGCATATCATCCCCAAAATATGAATGTCAGTCGGGATCATCATCCCAAATAGCATAGATTCCAAAAAAATGGAACAACCTAATTAAACGTATTGCTTGGTTCTGAATCCTCAAATAAATCAATGGTGACCATCCCCCTTATTCCAAAATCTTTATGGTTCACAAATCTGGACAAAATACAATCATTCACCATCCTGAAGAGTTTGACCATGTAGAGATAGCTACCCCAAATCCAATTCCAATCATTTCAGCAACATCGCGACGTGTTCGGTCCAAGCATCGGCCAGATGATACAAATTCAGATGCTGAAGCATCAAGGGCCCAGAAGCATGTCCCCATGGAAACCGCATCGCACCTGCCGCGCACCGTCACACCAACTCCTGGGTACCCCAGCAACCACCCTGCCTTCATTGGACCTGCGAAGGTGGGCCACACAAAAAATAGTTTCCCTTTTGTGGTTGATATCGTGGGGGATTGTTTCACAGCAAACCCCCAAAAAAAACAGAAAGCAAATTCCTAGCAAAATGGTGGTACACTTGAACCTTTTCTACCTTCTTTGGACTGGTGCGGTAAACTCACATCCGTAAGCCCCCCATTTGATTCCACCTCATCTATGGGAAAAAAATAAAGGGATGGTTTGTTATTGGCTTTGCCACATGCAGTCTCCCATTTTGATAGAAATTCATTTTTCCCATCCCAAAAAAATATCGTGGATCACCATCCCACCCCCATCCCCCATCCCATCCCTTTTGGTTGCACCTTCATCACATCTTTGCCGCAGAAAGTCCAGCAGTTTCTGCAGCTGCCAGCGTTGGATCCCCCGCTGCTCCGTGGCCCGGATCCGGCACGGGGCGAAGGCGCGAGCCGCTGGGATCCTTGGGGGCAGAACGGTGGAGGCGGCCTGGGGATAGGCCAATGGGCGTTATCCTACGAAGATACCCTCTGGTAAGTTAACATAGCTATGGAAAATCACCATTTATAGTGAGTTTTCCCATTAAAAATGGTGATTTCCAATAGCTATGTTAGTTTACCAGAGGGTAACTGGCGGCCAGTTAAACACAACAGGGCATTTGTCCAGACTCCACTTGTCAAGGGGTGATGAGTTCAAGGACCTCAACAAATTCGTGGGGATAACATTGACTACTCAGTCTGGTTGATGGTGTACCTACCCCTCTGAAAAATGATGGAGTTCGTGAGTTGAGATGATGAAATTCCCAACTGAATGGAAAGTCATAAAAGCCATGTTCCAAACCACCAACCAGATAATATCGATAACAATATGGAAGAAGAAGCTGAATATGATATGTGGGTTTGTCTGAAATTTGGGGGATACCCCCAAAATTATACAATTGAAATGGCAAAAATCGTGGGAAAACCATCGGACTTGACGGATACCTCGTCTTCAGACAAACCCATGACAAAAGATACGACAGAACAAGTCTTTTCAATGGTTGATTTCACAAATTGTTCTAAATTTTGGGAGAAAAATGAAGAACACCAGCAGATATGTTGCCATAAAAATTCAGATACCACATGCTACCACAATCATAATTCCAATTTTACCTGTTGGATCTCTCAATTCTTCATGGGTTGCATCATCCCCTTGGTTGCTTCATTTTCAATGGATCTGGGTAAATTATAATATTTCACTAACCTGAATTAAGGCCATTTGGGGATGATTTCCAATACTAACCATGATTCCAGTGAGGGAGAACAGTGAGGTCGTTATAATTTACCCAGACCAATGGATGGGTCCACCGGGCGTCAAGTCGGCAAAGCTCGTCAGGGTCACCGATGGCACCGTCGCCAGGAGCTCCGCCGCATCCAGGCAACGCGGCGCCGGGTCCGTCGCGGTCAGGAGTTGCCTGGGTCGGTTCGCTCCTCCACGGAGCTTGAAACCTATGGTTTTGGGGACCCCCAATGTTAAGAAAAGCCTCAAAATGGTGATTTGGATGGGATTTAATGGAATTTAGTTAGCTATATCAGTTGGTAAACATAACTCAACTCCAACAGCTGTTGGGTTTGTGATATAGGATGATATATGTACAGTTCATGGGGGTTATAAACCAAGAGACCATCACTTTTTTGGGACACCACCCTTGCTAGACATCTTTGGGGCGGGACAAACTTGGTTTGAAAAAAAGGTCAAATGACCCATCTCCGGGAGGTTTAATGGGAAAATCGAGGGATTGTTGAATCTACAAGAGACTGGACTTAGCCATTGGACTTTCATCACAAAAATATTTTGAGATGTTGCCCTAGTGGATCCAAATGGGGGATTTCACCTAAAGGTCGAAAAGCCTGCAAGAATGGTGAACTGATGCTTGGCAGTCTAGTGATTTTGGATCTGTGTAAAACGCCCCATCATTCAGAACACCATAATCAGTGCTGCAGGCATTTAAAACCACAACCTCAAACCAGATCACCACTGGAAAGCTGGGAAAGCTGTGAAAAAAGACGCGAGCTTTGAGAGGTGGCACGAAACGTAATCTCACGTTCATGATTGCATTGTTCAAGTTGCCTGACAAGTATACTGCTTCAGGGCAATCCACAGCCTACACCCCTCAGCTCGACCAAATGGCAAGTTTCTGTTTCACAGGCACCCCACAGACGCTCCTGAGCGCAGCATTTGTGGAGATGAAAGCAGACTGCATCTACAATGTGAGGCCCCCAAGTTATAAGTTGGTTTAGATTCGCCCCAGTAACTATAGTTGTAAGTACCATAAACCATAGTTATTGGAGTTATAAACCAACTTAGCTATCGAACGGGGGCCTCACATTGTAGGAAAAACCGTTTTTTTGGGGTGGATATCCCTTTGACCTGGCTCTGTCTTTCGGATCCCTCGGCCGGCTCCGATCAAAAAGAACCCCATCCGCGGATGTATTTTTTGTGGGCCATAAAGTCCCTACACCAGATTAACGGATGGTTTTTCTGGAGCCTGAAATGTGATGAATGGATTTTCATGGATTTCTGGGCCCATGTGAACTCGGACTTTTTTACCTTTCTACTCATTTTCAGTACATCCCCAAGGAGATCAGATTTTCCCAGTAACAGATGACTATAGATGATCCGCGTGGGCCAAATTAACGTAGGAATTTATAGCCATAGGCCCATAGTATGATCAGTTCATGCCAGATCACCACTGAGTTGGAGCCACTTTGCCGGGTTCCATTTATCCGCCCTCATTGATGATGTCAAGTCGGGTGTGCTCTGATTCGCATTGCCCTTCGGCAATCAAAGCAATTTTTCAGCCAGGTTTGTTTCCCAGAGGATACGGTATACCCCCCAAAGGCTATAGCCATTAAATGAAGCAATCTTATGATTAACCAATGGATTGTTTTTGTTATTTCCCCCAATGTTTTTGACAAACCCACTTCCTTCAGTTGGTCTTCAGAGAAATACATCAGGTCCAAGTCTCTCCAGTTTTAGCTGAAGATCGGCCACTGTCCTGAAGGTTTGCTGGTAAACACGGCGATTTTTCCATAGCAAAGTCTTCAATTACCAGAGGATATGTACACAATGTGTGTAATACATAGACGTATGTACATACATGTACAACAAATATACGAGACCACTTTCTGCTGGTGGAGCAATTCCTTGTTTCTGATGTCAAGCTCAATTCATCATCAACATGTCTGGAATGTGAGTTCGGCATGTAACACGTTGAAATTTGGAAACTCGATTCCAAATCAAAGTTTATATCATACCAAATTCCCTCTTTTCACTGACCACATCGCTACCACACAGTCACCAACCTGAGCAGTGCCGAAAACACTCTGCCATCGGAAAAACCTACCGTTGATTGGGGGCAGAGTTCCTGTACCCCCACTACTAATGTGGTAAACCCTACAGTAAAATGTGTATATGTAGGTATATATATATATATGTATATGGTATATACCCACTCTTATATGGTATATATATATATACCCTACTACTGTATATGTAGATTTTATATGGTATATACAGTAGATACCCGTTGACACAGCAAAAGGAAAGACTTGGTTCGTGCACCGGTCACCGAGCATCGCTTGCGGCTCCAGGCCCAGTGTGACCAACTCTTCCCCGGTGTCGCTGTGCACGGTAAGGGTCACCATGGCGAGTCGTTCCAGGGATCTATACCATGGTTTTGCTGATATCTTTTACTGACAAGTACTATAGATGGAAAAATAGATAAGATAACATTAACCATAACATTAACAGTACTACAGTCTATACCATGGTATTTACAGTTAACATTAACATTAAATATATGGGGATGGGTCAAAACCTATTAAAAAATCAATTCTAATGGGATGAACATCCAGAAAAACCAGCTATTTTGGGGTTCACTAGGTACCAGGGTTTTGACACACTGCCATATAGTTAACATTGTAGTACTGTATATAAGTTAACTTTTTACTACCATTTTTTACCAGGAAATGCTTGATTTTAGGGTTTCTTTTTGCAGGAAACTAAGTTTCTTAACCCTGACATATCAGGTTTTGCCGCACTCTTCCCTTTCATACCGTGGACGGGGAGAATGTGAACGAAAACCTTCGAGCCCTATGGCTTGGGGATAAAAGGTAGCTAAATGGTCTAAAGTTATGAGGCTTCTTCATGCTTGTGGGGATGAACGAGTTTGACAACACGAAAAATGTCATCCGAAGGCTCAACTTTTGCAAAAGCCACCCATATTTTAAATGGCTGGTCGGTTCTGGTGCTGTGCCACCCCACTAGCTACATGAAGAAACTCAAAACCACCAAACTCAAAGGTTCGCTTCCAGTTGTATGAATAGCCTCTCTGCCGACAAATCGCGGGAACAATGGAAACGTCGGATGATTTTCTCATGTCTCTGTATATGTGTATACATACTTATATATATATATATACACATACATTGCATATCTTGCCTGTGACGGTTGACAGAAACCACCAAAACTTCATGCATATTACAAGGATTCATTGACCAACTAAGGACGCCAGGCGTTTGTTGGTACACTACCCGGTAGGATGATCTAGTAACTCTCCAAGCCATCCCAGGCTGGTAGCCTATCAAATCAACATGAATTTTCTATGAATAAATCAGGTACACACCAGTGAATGTAAGGTGTGTAAAAATCTGCCATTTGCTACGGAACCAATATATTATCAACATCATTGGTGGTGTCCTTATCCCAAAGAATCAGTGTTGAAAACAGTGCTTTGGAGCTGCCAACTAGCTCAAACTAGGGAGCATTGAATTCCCATTCCCCTTTGTTGTAAAAATTATACCTCATGGTTCTTGGATATCTGACTTGACTTCTACATTGACTATAGAAATATGTTTATACTCACCTATTACACCCAGTATAGCCCCATATGTTGGTTCAACCGCGACCAACGCTTCAAGGGCCACCTGCTTGACCCCCCGCGGAGCGCTGCCCGTCTCTTCTTTCGGAGCGCACACGGCTGCTCGTGGGATTTTCCCGGACGGGATCCTGGGTGGTTGCGAAATCCTGCACCACCGAAAGGATGGTTAAAAGCCTATGAATAATGGGATGTAGAAACCACCGTTTTCGGTGCAGGATTGAGGACAACCACAGTATCTGGAGGAGGATCTGGAAAATCTGGAAACCCAATGCAGCAACCAGATGTTCATTGCTTTCCTGCAGATCTTCCCGTAAACAATACAGCACCCCCCAAAGGTTGATGCCCAACATACCGATACCACCCTGGTTTCACTGTTCCGCATCTTTTGGGGGGTTGATGTGTTCAACCCAATACCATCCCTACTAAGCCATGGTAGCTCTATGGCATTGGGTGAAGCCCACATCTAAAATCTGGTCAAATGATAATAATTCACAAACCTGAAATAAAGTCAAACAAGGCTATATTGGGCTGGTTGGTGGTGTACCTACCCCTCTGAAAAATGATGGAGTTCGTCAGTTGGGATGATTTTCCATTCCCAACTGAATGGAAAGTCATAAAAGCCATGTTCCAAACCACCAACCAGATATATAAGCATCATATTCCCATTGTTGTTGGTTTATACCCTTTGAAAACCACCATTAATCACCTCTGTTCCAAACCACCAACCAGTGGGATAATTCCCCTATACATTCACCGAGAACCTGCTGCTCCAAGGCACCGCCAGGGCGAGCTCAGGGACTTTGGACCGGAACCTCATCAGCGTCTTCACCTCGGACGAGGAAACTGCCGAAAGGTGAACGTCGCCAAGCCCGGGCCGAATGACCCGAGAAATCCCGAGAATCAAACGTGGCAATTGAAAATCCTCTGTTTCATTGGCCAGCCATGTTTCATGACACCGGAGGGTAGCACAATCAATTGATAAAAATCACTCCGTCTGTGTAGGATTTGGTCTTCGACATGTATTGAAACTCCATTATTGCAAGCCTTCTGTGATCTTTTAGGCTTTCATCGTGGAGCTTTGACACTCCTGGTCCACTGGTGCTTTGAAATGTCGGCTTCCACATTTCAAACATAGAAAAACATGAGGAAAAACATCATCGTTACTTCGGATCATCATGGGGATCCCGGGTGGAAAAATCTCCATGTGAAACCAATCCATCCGGCCATGGTCCCAGGGCCCCCAGGGCCCCCAGGCTGCTGTCGTCACTTCTCGACAGCTCCGTTCATCCTGGCCAGCACTTGGGGCATCGGGCATGGATGTGGGGCATCCATGGTCGGACCAAACTTGTACATTGAATTTATCGATGTGTAGAATACATATACCATCTGGTTGTTTAACATAGCCATGGAAAATCACCATTTTTAATAGGTGAACCATCTATAAATGGGTTTGTAGCTGGGAAAATATCATACATATCTGGTTGGTGGTTTTAACCATCTTGAAATATATTAGTCAGTTGGGCTGATTATTCCCAATATATGGAAAATAAAAAATGTTCCAAACCACCAACCAGTATATATATATATATATACATACACGCAAATCCATCCTCCCTAATATCACATTCCCAAGTGAAATCCTGTTATAGTATTGGATCTATGTATGCATTTTGGGGGCCCACATGGAGGGTACACCATATAAAGGGGATAGGATTACATCACACTTGTGATGGCAAACCTATGATTGCTGCTTGGTCAATTGGGATCTAGTTGATCTTGTGGTTGCTCCCTTCACGCTAAGGACTGGCCACTCTCCACATTGGTCTATTTTTTGAGCTGTCGATGAAAAAGACACAATAGTGGATATCGATGTGGGTGCGTGGGTGTATATATATATACACACATACTTATTCATAATGAAGAACTTAATATTGTGTCCATATATATATATATGTATGTATGTATGTATGTATGTATGTATGTATGTATGTATGTATGTATGTATGTATGTATGTATGTATGTATGTATGTATGTAGTATGTATGTATGTATGTATGTATGTATGTATGTATGTATGTATGTATGTATGTATGTATGTATGTATGTATGTATGTATGTATGTATGTATGTATGTATGTATGTATGTATGTATGTATGTATGTATGTATGTATGTATGTATGTACAAGTACATGTGCATGTACATATACATACTGTCATGCACAGCACCCATGAAAGTTAGTGTTTCACAGTTTCACCGCATAGACATCAAAAGACTTGGCCTGAGAAACGGTAAACAATGAAGGTATCACTGGGAATGTGGGAATCACCAGGAATGTGGGATGTTCTCGGGTGAGGCGCATAAACACACAAGGCCGAAACCAACCAAAACAAGATGGCTATGATCCTAGTCATCCCCACAAGCTTCGAGTTGAATCTCAAGCCCACTATTAATCTGAAAAAAAACTTCTCAAGACTGTTGCTGCCGCCATGTGCATCCCAGCTAGGATCTGGTTTATCACGATAGTCACATAACATATAACTGGGATATAATATTGTTGTTACATGTTGTTACCGTACTAGGACCCGCAACAATGGTGGGTCAGTTCACACGCCCTGCAGTACACCCTCCAAAACCTGGAAAAAAAACACAGGTTTTCGCAGCTTGCGCAGCTCAGAAAGACACCTTGGTGACGCAAGCTCTGTAAAGTGCTGGGCAAAGTCACACCTTTCAAGCTGGCTCTTCCATGGAGTCCAAGGCTTAAGTTCCGGAGATTGCAGGGCAAGACGTCCTGGATGCTTGAGAGTCGTAAGAGGTTGATAAGCCAACTAGGGCCCCAGTCATCTGATCATCTGATGTTTGGGTATCTTTTTTTGGGAATGGGAAAAACTATGGAACACATTGGAACTCCTAGTTAGGATCATCCTTGGGGAAAGCATCAGCCCAGCAATGCCCAGCATCCTTCAGGCTGTGCTGAAAGGAATCTCCAAACTTCAAGGTCTGCAGTGACTCCGGAAACCTCACACCTTCCAGGCTCTGATTGTAGAGGTGCCCGAAGCTCAAGCTTTCAAGATGCTCGGGGAAGACCACACCCTGCAAGCTCTGATTGAAGTGGTAGCCCAAGGTCAAGCTCTCCAGAGAACTTGGCAATGTCACACCCTCCAAAGTCTGGTTGAAGCCCTGTAAACTAGGGGCATAGTCGGTGGCCAAGGTCAAACTTCGAAGATCGGGGGGAAATGTCACATGCTCCAGGCTCTGGTTAAACAAGCGACCAAAAATCAAGTTGTGGAGATGGAGGGGAAAGGCCACATTGTCCATGCTCTGGTTAAAATTGCGACCAAACGTCAAGCTTTGAAGATTGCTTGGAAGGGTCACATTGTCTATGCTTCGATTGAAGGAACCGCTGAATCTCAAGCTCTCCAGGCTTTCCGGTAGGCTTATGGTCTCAAGGCTTTCATTCGCTTTGCACCCAAAGGTTAAACTTCTGAGATCCGGCAAAACCAGACCCTCCAAGCTCTGATTAAAACCACCTCCAAAGGTCAAAGTCTGAAGGCTCTTGGGAAACATCACCCGGCATCGCCTCTCACCCGCCTCATTGCTGACAGTGTGCAAGGTCAGGCTTATCAGTTCAGCCAGTTGCGGTAAAGCCGCGCTCTCAGCCAAGCTGGTTCCCAGAGTCAAGCTTTGAAGATTCGCTGGGAAGGTGAAGTTCTGATTATATGCAGTCCCTAAACTCAAATTCTGAAGATGTCTTGGCAGAATCACATGCTCCAGGCTATGATCAAAGCAACTATCTGCCACAAAAGCGAGTTGTTGAAGATTGCATGGCAAGGCCACTTTCTCCAGACTCTGGTTAAACAACTTGCCAAAATTTAAGGCACACAAGCTCTCAGGCAAATTCACACCCGCCAGGCTTTGATTGAATTTGCGGCCAAACGTCAAATTTCGGAGAGCCGTCGGCAGAGTCACATGGTCCAAATTCCTCGGTAGGGTTGTCTCGGCCGGGATCATTTGGATTATCCCATTTGTTTGGGATCCTGAATGATGTCAGGGGCCCTGAATGCCCAAATGGGGAAAAGCAGCTGCAGTAGCAGCTGAAAAGCACCGAATATATGGCAAACAAACATGGCACTGGGGCCATTCAACGACGTTCATCACGATTGACCTATTGAAAGTGGTAATGTTCGGGTAAAAATTTATGGCCAAATTTTGTCTTGGACATCGCCCAGATGCTTGTCGAAGGACCCCCCAAAGGTCAGCTGTTGAAGACTGCTGGGCAAGTTGACACCCTCAAGGCTGGCATCGTATTGAAATCCGAAGGTCAAGCTTTGAAGTTGGCATGGCAGCACCACATTCCTCAAGCTCTGCCTGAAATGATATCCAAAGGTCAAGGTTTCAAGGCTGCTTGGCAACGTCACGCCCACCAGGGTCGAATCAAAATATTGGCCAAAGGTCAAATGTAACCTGGGATTTGTTTCAGAACCATTTTAAGACATTTGACCTAGCTATAGATGATTTTATGATGATTTACCTATTAAATTCATAAAAACTATCCCCAAGTAGATTCCCCAAGTCATGGTAGCCCCATGAGAAAAAAAAACACACCAGGTAACAGCTGCCGTGGCCACAGCACAGCTCCTAGGCCCTGGTTGAACCATCTGCTGAAGCTTAAACTTTGAAGACTCTGCGGCAGCTCCAGTGAGGCTCGCACAATGCCTTCCAACTGCGTCCTTGGTGACTTTGTACCCGCTGGGATCGCTAGAAAACGCTATCTATGCGTATTGTCCTATACATTACAATAATATATATATACACACATAATTATATATATATACACATAACAATAACAATATGCATGAATATATAGTCATATATATAATCATATATATATATTATAATTAATATATATATATAATTAATATATATATATATAATATATATGTATATATAATATATATGTATATGTATATAAATCATATATAATCATGTGTATACATATATTTATATATATATATAACCATAACCATATATGTATCATATTATATGTATATATGTATATGTGGCTGTTTCATGGGGAAAACCATCATCTAAGTGACTGTGAATTGCATCTTCCACTGCCATGTTTGATTACCAGAGGGTCGGAGGTCAGCCATGACGCGAGCTGCGGTAATGGATGGTGCCCCATTTTTCGAATCTGATCAGTAGGGGTCCACCGGTCCAGCAGGGTAGGAAAGCCACTAAAGTGGAGATCATAGGTGGAAAGATCCAAGAGATCCAAGATCTCCCCATACTTTAGGGCCAGTGGCAGGCCGATTTTGCGCCGAAAAGGAGGGTTTCATGGTTTCATGTCGCCCAATGGTGCCGCAGTAAAGATGGAATCGGGTTGGATCGGCTTTGGGACAGCACCCCAATGTGAATGGTTACCTGGTTTTATTACTTTGATTGCTGGTTTTATACCCATGCCTTGCCTACTATCGATTGCCAACAGGGGTAACTCTACTTGTGAACTAAACCCTTATCGACATCCCTTTCATGCATTATTCAATTCGGATTTCCCACATCCAGATGGTGATGCAAACACTGACTGGCTATTTGCGAGCCCATGGGTACCCATTTGCTAAATCGCCATACCCCTCAATGCCTTGGTTGCACCCTTTACTGGGCAGATGAGACTAGAACTTAAATCTTCAGTCTCTATTCCACAGCTATTCCATGCTATTCCCTAAAGATCAAACATTTTCCAAAGATGGACATGGAGATCAACTGCATAAGAATAGGGGAAAAATGTCCTTTGCCCACAGCTGAGATCGTTGAAGCTTCAGCTTTTCCCATTATAGGCAAAACATGTTGGATGAAATTTACAAAAAAAATATGGCATGGTATAATATGGGTAAAACAATAATAAACCATCCCCCAATCATCACCATAGGTGGTATGTTTACCATTCCCAGTCATGTGTGGTTTATGACTTTGTTTTAAGCACATGATATTGATTGTTAATCATAGTTCATAGTAATATAATGTAATATATACTAACATACCAGATCTAGTTACTTATTGATGATATTGTGTACTTACATGTACTTACCAATATATATATATAATGTATGTGTATATATATATATATTCAGCTCAGGATCAGTCCCTCAAGCTGCAGTTCATCAGCTTCATTTCCTTGGATGAAGTTGCAGGCTGCCTGCAGATCGCAGGCAGCCCAGCTGCATGAAAGGATGCTCCCTGGCACCTGACGCTACTGGAAGCCACGGAACTGGGTGCCTCCGTGCCTCACGGATCATAGGATCCTACCAGTAAGTAGCTAAGAAACCCCTGGCTTTTGTGGGATAAGTAGGCTTAATCCACTTACACGGGTTTTTTTCAGCCAGTTATTAAGTGGGATAAACCACCAAGGAAGGGGACATGAAGCAACATAATCCTGGAGTATGAGTTGACCGACAGAAAAATCGTGCAACCGGACCCAAACTTACAGGGCTACAGGCTGGGTATGGGCCAAATTTAAGACCACATGATTTGGAACCAATCCCAATATACCAGACCTTCTGGCAAAACGTCTAGGGTAATTATGAACGATGCACTCCTGAAACTGATAAAAATCGCCATGCTTGAGTTCAAATTTTAATTCTCGCGGTATGCCCACAATTGGTGTAGTTCAAACAAGGTGCCAAAGCACCCACAGATATATAAACCCTTCAATAATTCTGTTTTGTGCGGGTCAAGACCTTGAACTTCCCCCAATATGCATGGCGTTTAAAAACATGACCCTGGTCTGTGGCTCCGTGGCGCCCATGTCCAAGTCACAATGCCCTGCTGCTGCAGACTCTGGCGCATCTGAAGCCGCTCCGCCGGCGCGGAGGCGATCAGCAGCTTGGCACCGGCCCTCGGAAGCAATCTCTGGGAGATCCGCAGGTAGACCTGGCTGGGAGGGCCGAGGTTGGAGCCACCTCCCAGTGGGTTTGAGATGCCAACAGAAATCATGTTGGTAATTTTAGAGATCCCATAAAGACCCATGGGGAAGTTATTTCTCATTCATGACTCAGTTTTTGGATTCATTCCTCAGTTTTTTGGAGTGGATATTCCAAGCTAGCCCACAAGTGCTGGATCTGATGCATCAAGCGCAAGCGCATCAGATCGAAGTGGAATGATCGTCTCAGTACTCCCAGGACCTTTTGTAGGACGTGCCCTACAGGGACAATCCATGTTTTGGCTGGGGGAATGGAGCTGCGGAACAGGTGCGGCAAAGGCGGAACTCCTTTGCACTCCAAAATCGACGTCAAAAGAAGCTGAAAAGCCAGAGAGATGCTGGGGTAACGTATTATATATATATAATATATATATAATATATATATATATATATAATATATATATAATATATATATATGTATATAGAGATACATACGTTATATCTAACATCCAACCAAAATCTGGAAACTGGGACATGCCTAATCTATTTTCATCACCGGAATCGGCGGCGCACCTCGCGTCCCAGCATCGCAGGATCCACCCTCAACGAGAAGCCTTCGCTGGTCAAACATGCCACCTCCAAGGGGCGATTTTTGTCCGGTTGAGGTCCATTGGTGGCCGAGTTTACCCATTGAAAATGGTGGATCTTTCCATAGCTATGTTAGTTTACCAGAGGGTAACTTGGTGGCAGAAGTTTCCGGGATCTCAGATTTACATGTCAATTGCTTAGGCGTAGGCGCCTTAAATAGCAGCATCAGGAAATGATCATGTTTCGCCTATCAGAAAAGATATCATTAAAAAAAGTCCTCGAACCAATGAGGAGCTGCTGTGAATATCTGGACCGAAACCCACCACTTTTCAATAGGTTTCCCATGGTTTCCCCCCACCAAAAGGCCGCCCAAAAAAAAAGAGCGGTAGCTGAACGCCTCAATGTCAAAGAGCTGCACCCCGGCATCTCCGGCACCGTCGCCGGCCATGGCAGCGGCTTTTTTACATAGGAATCTGCGATGTTTCAGGATGACAACATCCAAAACATGTATGTTAGCCACAACCAAAAGAGTTTGAATGAGTTTGATCAAGTACTTACTTAGTGAAGAAATGGTAATCTGATGTAATCTGGTAACAAGATCATATTTCGGATATTTCAGGATTTGGGGGTTGCTGACCAAATCATTCATACTAGTATGGTCGTCACAGACACGTTCTGGTCCACCCATGTAGGCTTGTCAGAAGGAAGCGACACCCGAACTTGAACAGGGAGAAGCTTGAACCCGCGGCAGCACTTCCTTTTGGCCGGTAGCTGCTAGATTATTTGGATGGTAGTCATAGTTTTGAATTTGGACCACTCAGTGATCAATGGTGTAATCTGAGTCTAAACTTTGGAGTTTGAATTCAACAGGAAAACATCTGAAGATCCTTGATATTCTGTCATGAATAGTGGATTCTTTTTGTACTTCCAATCTAGAGTTAGCACCCCAGTCGCATCTGTTCATCAACATCTATCCCCTATCAATCTATGTACCGTGGTGTCCTATGGCTACCTCTTCATACGGGGCTAGGCCGACCCTCGTTCGATCTTATGAAATCCAAGCGGAACTATCATCATTTAACGAAGATGAAAATAGCTGATACCCTCTGGTTATTTTTAACACTATGGAAAATTGTGCTTTCAGACATCGATGATAAAAATCATCGATTTACCATGGATTTACCATTGATTTGCCATGTTTTACCATGTTTTACCATTGATTTACCATTGGTTTACCATGGATTTACCATTGATTTACCATTGGTTTACCATTGATTTACCATTGATTAACAATGTTTTACCATTGGTTTACCATTGATTTACCATGTTTTACCTATAAAAAGTTGATGATTTTCGATGGGGAATCCCCGGCCCCGGGTGGCCTTGGTCCTCAGACGCCAGGGATGAGAGCCCTCGATCAGCAAATCGATGGCCCAGGGCGCCCTGGATTTCGAGTCCAGGATTCTCAGGGAACTCACTGGTAACACTTTGATGGGAAAATCACCATGGTGAATGGGAAAATTCACCATTAAGTACCCTCCAGTAAATTAACATAGACCCTGGCAGATTGGGGTTGGAAGATTAGTTTCCATTAAAAATGGTTGATTTTCAGGGTCTATGTTAATTTACCAGAGGGTACTGGGATTTTGATGTTTATTTGTTAAATCATCTCAGAACTTATGGGATTTTCTGGTAGTAGTGAGATTTACCCTCTGGTAATTCAACATAGCTATGGAAAATGGCCCATTTAGAAATCGTTGATTTACATATCAAACATAGTGATTTTACATAGCTATGTTAATTTACCAGAGGGTAATGGGATTTTATGATATTTTATAAATCATCTCATTACCTTTATGGATTTAAGTAGTAGGGCTTGTTTTTTGAGATTGGTGATATACTTTATGCTGGTTGGTGGTGCAACAACCATCTTGAAAAATCATGGGAAGGAACCAGATATTAGTATATATGGGATATGATGTTGGGTTTCTATATATATATATATGTATACATCATTATATATCTGCTTCTAAAATATCTGGTTTAATTATTACTGGCTGGGGATATGAAAATCAATGGGAAGGACTATCCCATATATTATGGAAAATAAAAGCAATGTTTGAAACCACCAATCTGTTTTTTTATGAGATATAAGGGGATTTGATTGCAGTAATGGTAACATCTAATGGGATTTTGATATATTTTAATGGGATTTGATGAAGAAACGGTGATCCAGAATGTCAAAGCACACTAAACTGTCGGAAATTTCAGGTGCTTGTCTATCTGCAGCACTGCAAGTCACTCTAGCCTGTTCCATGGTGCTATCTCAACGACGTCGCAAAAAGTTCTGGTCCATGCAGCTCCACAGTTGAAACACATCGGAAAAAGTCGTTGGAACTTGACGGCAGAATGGGTAACAACCCTTTCGATCGATGGCCAATCACGCTTGGGACATGGTGTGACATATTTGAACTTCAATATTTTTGGGGACAGGGCCCCAATGATTTATTCAAGTGGAATGATTCAAAGTGGAATAAATATCTGATCCTTCGGATGGCCAAAACATTCTTTCGGATGTCAGATCTTTCGGGGTTTTTCGAAGATTTAGCTGCGCGCACCGACCCAGAACGATGGATGCCCTTCACCAATTTTCACACATAAATCCACCGTTTGAATTTGTCAGAAAATGGGGGTAACCCCAAATGGCTGCTTTCATCGGGGGCATGATGTTTTAAATCATGGGAGGCTGGTGGTTTCCCACAACATGTTCACACAAACGCATCCATCATATTGTTGCTTATATACAGGATCCCATTTTATCCCCGCTATATCTTGATAAGTTATATAAATTCACCAACCTGAAATGTTCGGCCATTTGAAGTTAGTACCCTTACTAACCATCCTTTACGTCGTGACGTGGGAGAGAGGTTGTTGTAATTTGTCCTTTTTGAACCGTAACAAGTTTGACAGTTTGACATAGTTTGACATAGTTTGACATAGTTTGACATAGTTTGACATAGTTTGACATAGTCATGGGTGGTTGAAACTTCTAAGTTTGACATATTTATAGTTGAATGGCTATGGATGGTAATGATACCACCATGATTTTTTTGATGGTTTAAACCTCTCCCAAAACATGCCCTTCCTTACAGCTCTCGCCTGGGCCTCGAGGGCCTTGAGACCTGCACTGTCTGGTGGCATTGGATGAAAACCCGGTCCTTGGGGGATGGGAAGAATTCATAATCAATCCATGTTCATAGGGATGTGAGATAGCTAAGTTGGTGAACATAACTCCAATAACTGGTGATAGCGTGAAAAGTTGGTGAACATAACTCCAATTTCACGAATTGGTTTATGGTACGCAAATAACGAACTAGTTACTGGGGCGAATCTAGACCAACAAACATCACTGGGGGGCCTCACATTGTAGGGATGTGTATATTATAAAATTATATATATATACCCTCTGGTAATGACTAACTATAGCTATTGAGAATGGCCCAGTCGAAATAGTGGATTTACCCATTGAAAATAGTGGATCTTTCCATAGTTATGTGGCTGTTTACCAGAGGGTATATACTGTATACCCATTATGCTTGGATTCAAATTTATGAGATGGATAAATTTGACTATAAACCATATGCCATAATTTGATCCATGCACATATCTGAGCAGCAGTCAACACCCCTGTTGGTTGATGATATTTTCCTCGGCTATACTGCCCAATGTATTGGGGACTATCATAATCCACTAACTGTGACTCCCGCTCTTAACCAACCAGTATTTCATGCACTGACAGAGGGTTTTGGACATTGTTTATCTGGGTATTTAATCGACACAAACAGGGATGTAATGGGACATAGTTGGATATATGGGATACAGTTCACCAACTTAATATGATTTTGGTTTGTCTGAAGATGGGGGATGCTCCACTTTCTGGCCGCTCTACTGGGGAACTTTGGGGGACCCCACTTTCAGTTGCTTCCGAATCTGATGTTCCATCTAATCGAGAAACAAGGCGAGCTAAAGAACAAAGGGTGGGTATAGCTTCCAGCAAAAGAAGTCCAACAATAGACTCTATCGGATATGACCCAGCATGGGAATGTCCAAGTCCAACTGTCCAACCCATCAGGGTATCATCTGTGTCTGGCATCAGAAGCTTTCGGGTAACAGAAATGTGCGTCACATCTTCAATTATTACATGTTTCAGCATCTGGTATTTAAGTTCTGCAATTGAAACCATTGCAAATACTGGAACTACTGCAAATAATTATGATGTGTGTTGCTTCTACTGCTACCTGCTACATAGCACGAGGTGCATCTATCTATATACATACATTCCCGCATCCTTTTCCAGCTATTTCGGGCTCAAATTAGGTTATGAAATACGGAGGATCCTTCGATGCGCGTCCCAGTCGGTTAGTAAGGGGTTTATAAGCTACATACAACTGGCCATATCGGATATTTCTCACGGAGGTTTTTCCAGGGTATCACCCACTTACGATTTCTGCATGCACCCCAAGTGTGGACAATGACTAACAGGAATGTGGCAATAGGTCAGTTCACCCTAGCGTGGTGTAGCCACCAAAAAAACGCTTGGATTTATGAATCTTCAACACCACGAAGATGGTAAACTATGGGTTTTTTTAACTGGTTTAATCCATCCCGATATCTACTGCAGGATGATGATAGCTATTGTATGTTGCACTTTGACCAAGTTTGCTGGTTTGCTGTTGACCAGTCTAACATCAGTTCACTGCCTACAATGCATAGCCTCAGTACTCGTAAAATCAGACAATGTCAGTCAATAGCATTGTATGGCAATTGCAGTACCCAGAAGTCACTATGGCTATAGCGGCTACGGCTCAATTCCCCAGTTTTGGATGGTTTTACATCAAGAGTGCTTCAGTACCAGCCCGCTGGCCATGGCTGACATTTGATACGCATTATTGATACGCATTATATATATATATATATAGCAACCAAAAAGAGGATAGAAAAGTGATAAAATCCCACTATAGTGATGAATGATCCTTGTATCCTTTTGGATCCTTTTGGTGGTTACTATATTCCTATTCCTACCATTTACGGCCAAGATTTTGATGCGCCCACCTCGCCACTTTGGACGAAGGCCTCTGGAAGGTGGACCTAAAATGGTCCAGCACGGGTCCGAAGTCAGCACGGGCACCCCAACAGGTGGATGCTTTATAGCTTACACGCAGAAAGCCCGGAAAAGATACCAAAAAGTGTGAAACCGGGATAGTTAGATGATACTTAGATGAGATTTATCCCATACTTCCAGGTGTCCAACTTGTCAATTTTGGGGTTATGATCAGTACCCAAGTGCCAATTGACACCAGCAATGTTACTACCCATTGCCACCCATTTTTTACATGGAAGTTCAGGGGATGTTGGAGGCCATGAAAAAACATGGACAGGGGAAATGTCCATTGAAAAACGGGATGATTCAAGGAAAACTCTACCGGAAACGATCAATTTTGACATGAAAACAACTTCTTTGAACGAGAGATGAACAGAAAACATCAGGAAAACAGAAGTAAGTAAAAGAGTTTTTACCCACAAAAATGTCCGAACAGTTGTAGTCCATTGAAGGAAGTGTTTGAAACCACCAGTGAGTTTTGGTTCAATTAAACAAAGTTCACCCTGTTTCCGTCAAGTCTTGGGGCACCAGTGGAAGCGGAAGGCGTTTGTCACTAGATACCGAGGGTTCCAAGCTGAGTTATCTTGTGGATCTTCAAGGAGATTGCTACAGTACTTTGACTTCGATTCAAAAACATGAATGAATATTTACATAGTTATTACATGTTATTACATATCATAAATCTGAAATTGTGTGTGTATATACTATAGCCACCAAAAGAAAAAGAGAAAAAAAAACAGAACAAACCGATCGACCCCTTCGGTCGCACTGCGACCTCTGTGCGCCCCAGCCCGTGACAATGCCTCCAACCTGAGCCGCCGACGGTGAGTACGAGGATCACCCCACGAATGGCTCGGTAGGCGGAGGTATAACCCAGTTATTAATCAAATAAACCAGTTGAGCAGGATATTTTGATGATGTTACGATCTCATCTTGACATAGCCGACACTGTGGTATTCCTATACAAGTTGTCAACTTCCCAGCATTCGTTGAGAGGAACATCTACAGGAAAGAAGAAAAAACTTGGCCGGTGAATCCTGTTTTCCTGCAGATGTTTACTTCAACTAGTCCAGTGACAGCTCTCAAAGTCGGAGATTCACTAGTTACGCTTCACGCTAATAAGAGGCGAAGAAGTAAATGAACAACAAACCCCTCATTTACTCTAATTAACATTTGGATACATTTGGGGGGTATTAAAAATCCATAGCCACCACTTTAACTTTGACTGGGTCCATGTTCAACCCCAAAACCTAAGATTTAAATCTTGTTTGTTCTATCTTATGTATTTGAGTATCTGGGGTTGCCAGGTCCATTTAGGCTACTCCCATGGATCCACACCTCAGGAAGGAGTCCGCGATGCGTCGCCGAGCGCCATGGACCTAGGGGGATGTCGCTCAGCACATGTCTCAAGATTTCTGATGTAATGATCTAACCAACAAACATGAGGATACAAGGGGGCTTATAATTGGATATACTGTATATACTACCTCTGGTAAACTAACATATCTATGGAAAATCACTGTTTTTAATGGGTAAATCCACTATTTCTATGGCCATTTTCATTATCTATGTGAGTTTACCAGAGGGTATGTCACCAAGCTCCCGAAGGAACCCCCCCCCGACAATAGGGGCACCTGGCGCTTGTTGCCAGGGCTTATTCATCACCATTCACTGACAAGGGCGTATTAGCCATATACGGGTGTGTCTGAAAATGAGGTATACAGGTATACGGTATACCCTCCAAATTATCACAAAAAATGATATGTGAAAATGATGATAAACCGAAGGATTTGGCAGTGTTTTCAGACAAACAAATAATGTAATATGTTCTTCGACAACAAGAAACCAACCAGAAGCCCTTCCAGTTGTAAAAACTGTGATGGTTTAAATCCGTAGCCTACGTTCGAGTGGAAAACAAATGCTTGGAATGTGTGGGAACGAACTGGTAGCTGTTGGCCGATGAAAATTGGTTAGCGGGTCCTGATCCTGGTAATGACAATGGTGATTCATTAAGTTCCCCCCTCTTTTCAACATTCAGTTTTTATCTGTTTTAGACATTCTCTTCAAATTGGCTTTGGAAACCCAGCCCTTCAAACCTCCAAAATATCCTTATTTGAGGGGGCTATAGAGGGTACCCTATTACACCCTAGAAATCTGTGTATTAGGTGGGGATTTTTCAAATACACCCAACACCTGGGACAAAACCCTTGAAATCCTGGGGCTCCATTTTTGGGGTCAATTTTGGGACAATTATATGCTCCCCCTTTCATGGCCAAAACATCAAAAGCAGACCTCAAGGCTTGAAATTATCACCCCTCAGCTGCAGTTGCAGATGGGGACACTGCCTTCGGAGTGGGGGGCTTCGGGACTGCTGCTGCAGCAGTAGCCTTCGCCACATTCGATTCAGTCAGGCGAGCGCTTGAACTGCTGGCACCACCACCACCACCACCATGAGCTGGAGCCTCATGGAAAAATAGAGGAAACAAAAACACAATGTTGGAATTGATTGTTGCACTGAAGTTGGTGCCGATGCTGACAGACTGTGGTCGAAGCCAAGCAACGGCTTTAGCTGCAACCACCGTGCACTCCTCATCTGCCAACACCTGAACAATGTTGATAAATTTGTTTGTTGTAGAGATTTTGCCATTCACAGAGAAAGGGATGAACATGTTGAACACACAGGCTGTGATGCACATGCCATTCCCAATGCTGTCCTCCACCTCTCCCAGTGTTTCCGTCGGCTGGGCGGTCGTAGACCAGCGCTCTTGCAAAGAACGGGTTGCCCTAGCCTAGGATACAAGTTTCTCATGCATCTTAAACCACAATGACAGTTGCTCCCTTTTGAATTGATGCTGCATGGCTGGTGCAAATCCACAGGTGTAAGTGACACCGCCATTGAAAATATTTAAATGTTATGAACACCTTCTAACAAGTAGCCATACCACCAGGAGCAGCAGGGATAGGTGGACTCGACTTCGCTTCTGCCGGCTCCCCCTCAGGCTCACGCTTCGCCAGAAGCTCATCAGCCTTGGCCAGAAAGGGGCAGACAAGAAGGCCCCAATCAGGGAGATATGTTGAAATCACTGTGAATATTGCTGCAAAGTAACATATGACATGAAGCCAACAGAAGGGCTACTCACAAATTCCCGTTTGTTGGTGTGGTGCTTCTGAACGAAATAGTCTTTCGCATCAGTCGGGGGCAGCTCAACCATCTGGGTTGGGTCCAAAACCTTGACTAGCAATGCTTTGCCAGCTGTGTCATACACCACAAGATGCTCCGGTCCAGGTTCTGCCTGGCTGACCATGCTGGCAGGTGAGCCTGGCGCCTGTCAGACAAGGCCAGGAAGCACACAAGAACACACACACACACATAGAGGAACACCCAAATAAATTACATGAATATCTAAAGAAACCCGATTGGATTATGATTATATAGCAACACATTGCTTGCCTCCTCGAACTCAAAGGGATCCAAATCAGGGACGGTGACGAACTCCTCGACGTAGCGCGTGTTGGTGCCATCGGTGATGTAAGGCTTCTTCGCCCTGAGCTTTCAAGGTTGCAAGATTTTGAGACCAAGAATGCAGGGTATTGCTCTCTGAAGCACAACATTCTGAATCACCAAATGATAAGAATCTATTTCGATCTGTTTATTGCATTTTCTGAAGTTGGCATTCTGGGGAAATGAACTTCGTCCAGCCACAGGAAATCCCGGTAGATAGTTTCGCACCAGTAGTTCCACCCAGCAGGTAAGTAAGCCGTGGAATCACCACAGCTGATGCACTGATCATCCCCAATATAGTACACAGCAATGGTTTGCAGCAACTCCTCCTTCTGGGCTCGCCAGTGCCGAACTTCGGCCAGGAGCTTCTTTCCATGGATGCCTTGGACCGGCTTGTGCCAACAAACTTTAGTAAAAAAAACTCTTCCTGAACTTTGAGTGTCCCTTTGTATGCCACCAGCAAAGGACGTGGAAAATTTCCAAAATACAAAGAATATTTTCTATTGAATCTAGCCAGGGGTCTGGGTGGTATGTTTCCAAAGTTTCTCCAATTATCGTAGTCCTGTCAACGATGTCCCACGATTTTCAAATCAGGTGAAACGCACTGAAAATTATGAATGTTTAGCTTGGCTACCAGTGATCTCCTTCCCATCTAGGCGAAGCCAGATGTTGTCCAACAAGCCGGCCAGATATTTGCCACCTTAGCCAAATTTGTTTTAAATGTTTTTCCCCAACCCTTTGTTCATTTTTGACGTGCCATGCTGTCACACTGTTTGTTTCAAAAAATGAGTTTGCCACGGGGATCTTCGCTGTCTGTGGCCTGTGGCTTGTCACACGGGTCCACGTCGGCCAGCAAGGCGATGATGTCCTGAGCGATTGGTGGTATCTCAGCTGAAAACAGTGGTTGTGTGTTTTGAAGTGTGTGTGTGTGTGAAGCGTCTGTATAGACGTAAACTTCCTTGTCTCGATCAGTTTTGCAATTTTTGATTTTATTCAACTCTTCAAAAACGCAGGGGGCACAGGTGTGACTCTGGTTCCTGTGCCGACGAAGACGGCCAGAAGTCACAGTGATATCAAAGGGAGACGTCCCTTTGACGTACCTGCAGTGGTTTATCCATTTGGTTTCGAGAGTCATGGCATGGGGCTAAGCCGAGAACCCCAACAACAACAACAACAACAACAACAACAACAACAACAACAACAACAATTTTCTTCTACACGGTTGCCACAATCTGGTATTCAATACATTTATTATTATTCTATTTCGTTGACATGGCACAGGGCCAAGCCAAGAACCCTATGGAGACAATTTATTTATTTGGGATCTATTCTTTTTCGTCGACATGGCAGAGGGCTAAGCCGAGAACCCTATCGAGACAATTCATTTATGTGGGGACTTTGTCTACGATATTCTATCTTGGGATCTTTTGGAACCTGTTTCTGATCATGATTGACTCTATCGGAATTCCTTCATACTCATCGTATACCGCTTCCAGGAGATCTACCTTAGGTCCTTTGTTTCTATCTAATTGCACTTTATGGGATTCAGTTCCCAACGGGTCACTACAGTGTGTGTGTGCGTGTGTGCGTGTGTGTGCGTGTGTATTGGCCAGCCAGAGAATAATTATTTAAGACCAGGAGCGGTCAAGTCGTCGTTGGGCATCTGGCACACCACCTTGTTGTTGAACTGTCGGCGGTCAAGGTTGAACAACAGGTCCTGCTTGTTGTAGATTGGCAGTGCATACATGTCCTTGAAATCGAGTTTGTTCGAAGTTGTGACCTTTGCTCCGCGACAAGCCGGGGCAGCAGCCTTAGCTGTCTTGGTCGGAGGTGCCTTTCCTGCCCAAGGAATGGCTATTGACTGCTGACTCATTGTGAACCAACAGTTTCTGCGCATCAATTTTCAACGAGTGTGCAGCTGCAGCGCTCCTGGTGAAGTTCCACGGGAGGTGCTCTTGCCCTTGTCGCCTTTCTCCTTACCCTTGCCCCATGCGTCCTTGTAACTTCCCTTGGAACCCTTTCCGGGTGGTGGGGGCCGAGGCACACCCTTCCCAGTACCTTTTGGTGGTGGCACTCCGTACATCCCGAATCTACTAGCTGTTTGACCGAGTTTGACCTTTCAAATTTGCTGCTGGTTGGGGTGCATCAACCATGGCTGTTTCACTGGATTTTCATTGCAGCTTAAGATTGACCCAAGCATTCAGCAAACATGCATTTCTAGCGGCAAGGTGTCGTTCATGGCTATTGCCACAGGCTCCTGTCCATAATTTGGAAGAGCTCGCTTAATGGGAGCCCTGATTCTTTCGACCGGGAACTCAAAAGAAGGGATCCAACAAAACACCCCACCTGGGCAACATGCATTGAGTTGCCAAGTGCTCTGCGTGCATCCCACCAACTTGTTTGTGGCGTGAAAACACGATAGGCAAGGGATGCATCGTAACCTACATACTGAACATAGGTAGGGTATCCCATTGACAAATACATTTCTCGAAGTGTGAGGTGTCGGCCTAGACATGGAACATAGTACAGCCCCCCAGTTCTTCTGATTGTGGGCATTACCCCATGTCGGGCGCTCCACGTCACCCAACCTGTAGCTGGGGAATCCCCTAAGTGCACTACCAAATCCGAATAATCACATCGGTTTGTGTGGGGCAACTCCCAGAACTTGGAAACGTAATTATCCAGTCTAGCTTGTTCTGCAGCCAGAAGCAGCTGGTCTGAAGACCTCTTGCCCCGGCCACTGTCGCCACTTGTCAGGTGCCAGCAATCTTGCCAGAAGTCATTGGTGCCAGCAACCATGAGCATTCCTGGCCTGAGCTACCACAAGGACAAAACCAGAGTGGGGCAGGATGTGGTGAGCAACCTGAATCCTGCATCCGTTGTAAAGGCTGCATATATGGCAAGTAGCTTCAAAGGTGGGTCCCGCCCGATACAATGCATAGTATGCTGTAGCAGGATGCCAGGGTCAATCACGCATGTTGCGGAAGATTCGTGAAGAGCTCCCATATACAGCCTGTGGTGGACGTAAGTTTTATCGAGGAAAAATGGATCTAGAATCTAGGATATGCAATCGCAGCAAATTGGAATTTGGATCATCTTGGATTTTTGATGATCTTTTTTCTTCTAGAAAGTACCTAGCCTGGATCTTCTGATGCAGTCAAAGCCAACTGCAGCTGGATCAAAGCAAGCTTCACAATACCATTGATATTCAGAGCTGAATGTATCATGAACGACGTCGGTGGGGCAACGGTCAACATTCTCGATTGTTAACAGCGGATTCGCCAACTCTTTCGTTTTTCTACCAAACGCAGCCACAACTGGGGCTTGCTTTCCTGAAGTTCCTTGTTGCATCCCTGCTTGGCTAAAATCTTGACATGGGAAACCGCCACATCGAAGTGTGGCACCGGTGAAGAGGTCACAGTACTGATCATGTTGAAAGCACCATGCAGTCTTACTTGTTGGAACTTGGTTTGCCCAAGCAATCTTGTCTCTGTAAGATGAAATGCTATTGAGGTGGTTGTAGGCAGCCCTCCCATCCCCAAAGATGTCCAGTATGTCACCAAAGACGTGGCATTCATGGGGAACCCGGTTTTGGAGCATTCTCCTCATCGTGCTATCAATCTCCTTGGCTCTGCATGGGATGGATGTCTAGTAGATTAGATTTCTGATCCATTCTGGCATGGTCAATTTCAAGTCCGTCATTCTTGCAAACAAAGTTCACATGTCGAACGTGGACACAAGTCAACGTACCATCCGTTTTGCATTGCAGCGGTGGTCAGGAGGGTGGTGGCAACCTCGAACCCCGCAGCTCCTCCAGTGAAGTCACTGTCTGATCCTTGGCCTGTAACAAAGAAGGATTTCTCAATGTCACTAACTGACATTAGCTGGCGGGAGCAGTCCAGCAATCTTGGTGCCCAAGAGAAACTGCGGCATAGCTCTGGAGAACCATTGGGCCCAGCAAACATTTTCAAAAGGGTGCCAAGAATATAATATTGTTTATGATTTTGGGTCCCCCTCTGATGCTGGTAGATTGAAACAATTCAGTCAACTAGTAACTAGTCAAGAAGAATCATGGGAATCCGGTCGAGTCACTTGAGCCTGTGCACAAAGATGCACAACTTGCAGGCAAGCATTGCGACAAAAACATGAAGCTTGATTGGCCAGCAAGCTGAGCTGACTGCAGGCAAGGCGCTTGGAATGGGAGAGATGTGCCGCAATTGAATTCACAGCACCACAAGATGAAGTACACAGCCTTCTTTTTCATGGGATTCCCTCCGTCCAGCAAAACCTGCAACATGTTCAAGCGACTTAGTGTGAGGAAGTCTTGGAGAAACAGGAATGGCAACTCACAATATTACCAGCCTGGAAGTATCGGGCACCCTCAAAGTCAATTCGATGGCGATAAAGCAATGCACTTTGGTAGTCCTCCCAAAGAAACAAATGTTGAGCTGGGACCTAATACCTTACAAACCATGACGTGGCATGGCATGATAGGACACCCTCACATAACTGTCCTGGTAAATGTTCGCTGCAAGCCCGCGTCGATACCCCATGTGCTCCAGCGCATCTTCCAGTGACGTTTTGACACCAGACTGGACAAGAGACACCGCTTGTTCTTTCACTGCTCCATGCAGAACGTTTGATTTTTTTTGTTGCTCCACCAGACTAGTGTTTGACCCCCTGTGTTCAGCATACCTGTAAAGATGCTCAGACATCAACGCCGCACATTGTCGGCCAAGGCGGTGGCAACAATTGATGCAAAGAGGGTCTTCATCACAAAGTGCAAGCAAAGAAATCAGCTCGCCTACTGTCAGGCTAGCCTTGGTACCGGCGAAGGACGCTGTGTGAGATTTCATGTCGGCTGTGTGTGTGTGTGTTTGTGTTTTGTTGTTGCGTGTGTGTGTGTGGCTTTTCTGTGACTGCAGTGATGCATGTGACATAGACATAGACTTCCCCGAAAAAAACTGGTCAGGTAGCAACATTGCCCTTGATGAGTTTTTTAGACTCTGGTAGTCCTGCTTCTTCCTGTGCCATTGCGTCCATGAAATTCCGGAAGGTTACCCACCATGGTAGTGCTGTGAAGCTTTTCATCTCTAAGCTATCAATCATACACTGGCCATTCTCGACTGGCATTCTGTGATTTGAGGAAACTTGGAGCGTCTCCACTGGCACGGTCCCATCGTTGAGGGGGCTGAGCCAATCCCGCAAGCAGCAGGCTGCCCTGAGGATTGTGGCAATCCCAAACGGTCAACCGCTGTTGTAAATTCAATATGAGACTACAAAACAAAAGTTTGATATGAAACTATGGCAATATTTAAAAAAGGCATTCATGCAAACATGCTGCTTGACCCGATAGGGCCATTCACGGTTCTTGGAGGAAACCCAGTGCACCAAATGGCAAACCAAACTGGAAGTGGGAACCACAACCTCAGGGATATCTGCCAAGATCTCTGCCGGAACTAGTTGGCTGTCTGGTCGTTGTGGCCGCCGCCTTTGTGCTGAACAAACCTGAGACAGTGAGCGCAATAGGATGGGAGGGTCTCTTGAAAAAGGTGAGCATTCATGGTTGCACTTTATTCCGAGTTACTGCCCATGCAGGGGCGTGTGCTGCCACAAAGATTTTGGAGAACAATCGTTCCAGAGGGGTTCCCATCTTCTCTAGATAGGCAAAGTAGGACCTCAGGGAGAAAAGGCGAAGAAAAGGGCGAGCCGAAAGCATGGCATTCAGTCAATTACCCCCACCAAGCCTCGCAGCTCTTTCTGGATGGCAAGATTCAAACAGGGGTTGGATAGTCCAGAGAATCTCGCCAGTCGCCGCAATGTGATACATCTTGATTTCATGAGCTGGGGCTGGGCATTGCAACGAGCGCATGGCTGCCATTTTGTAATGGCAGGTGCCAACCCCAAACAAGTAAGTGAAATCATTGCATTTTCTGTCTTTGATTTTGGTTTACCACTTCTTCATTGCGTTTTCTGGTGTGAATCTCAGCTCTCTGGAGCCTGAATCGATGGGAACAACCCAATCAGCACAGGAATGTCATGTGCCCTGACCCCATAACAAATCAGACATGGTGATTTTTGCTTGATTTTTACACCAGGACTGGGTGTAATCTGAGGGTGTAATACCAAAAGTTCCTGAACCAAAGAAGGGAGAAAAAAAAAGTTCGTAAATTTCTCCATTGTTTGAATCATTTCCATCGGTCATCGGTCCCCGAAAAAGCTCTTGTCTGTTGTCAACAATCCGTTTCTATTTGGCTATTTCCCAATGAAATGCTTCAGTTGTCAAAAAACATGTGCGGTTGCTAGAGATGGGCCAAGTTCCAAACTTGCTTCATCAAATCCTCAACTACTGGTTAAACTCCCAACTGGTGTAACTACTATTTGGCTATAATCCATGTGCAAGTGGATATTCTATAAGTTGATTTAAACATGTTTAATTATACATGTTTTTATATATATATACAGTATATATATATTAATTATATATTTATAGAACCCATTTAGTAAGTCTGCACCCCCAAGTTTCCAGAAAGTTCCTTGATGAAAATCCGTGGTCAACTCAGTTTTCCTGGATGAAAATCCTCGGGACAAAGGCACCGAGGGCCAGAGTTCCAAACGTTGGAAGTCGGAACTAAGCGCCTCGAAATTCGTGGGACTTCTTTGGATTCACGGTCCATTGGATTGGTTTAAGGGAAAATCTACAGGAAACCCATGGGTTTTTACCATGAAATATAGGGCTTTCCGGTTAAAATTTTCCCATCATCCAATTCTATGAACGGTGGAGACCCTGGTTCTTACCATGAAAAGTTGCGTGTTGTATTTTTCACGTCAGGAACGATGGTTTTTTCGTGGTGCCATCAAAAGTGGAAGATATTTTTGATGGGGGGAGAAAAAAAAACTGTACGTGTTCTTTCCATGGGAAGAACTGGATCCTTATCCTTCTTCTGTCAGTTTTTTTTTGAAAAGAGTTTCATCATATGAATCATGTGTTGCAAATGCCGGTTTCATCAGACCAGGAAAAATATCTCTTGTTGCATCCCCTAGTAGTTCTTGCGGGGAAATCGCTGACTTGGAACCTGGCACATGGGAAGAATAGAGGGATTGCCAACTTACAAAGTGAACTTGATATGACTTGATCTGGGCAAATTGAACTCATTCCCTGACCTGTGAGATGTTTTTTCAGTGTGCCCAATGTTGAGGCCGTTATTCAAAGACTCCCCTTCCTACTCATTACTCATGGGCTTATGGCGAGGTCGGCCAGTCAGTTCGTTAAGCTATTTCTAAAAATCTATCAAAATATAACGTCCAATCGGGTCATTCCCTGGCCTCAAACCCTCAAACCATGCGCTGGTCGCGCAAATGTCTTTTGAGGGTCCATAACATGGGTGTCGGTAGCATTGTTCGTTGTAGACTAGCGACCACAGATATGTAAGCAGGTCATTTCTTTCGCGCATGCATGTCTACTTGTTAGGTGCCTTTTTAAAAATGACATTTTGCTGTTTGGTCTTTATATCTGTGTAGCATCATTTGTGGCACACAAAAAAGCTCACCCATGAATCTATATCAACTTACCATTCACATCCATTCACCAGGGTTTAGCCAAGAAACTAACGTCTTCTCCTGGCGTTTCAACGGATGGCTGCTACATGTGGAAGTGTGTGGGAGTTTGGTCGGGCTGTGGAAGGTGATGGGGTGGATCAAACTTCAGACCTTGGGGAATTCGGGTTTTTGTTTGGAGCATGGAACCCATGGTGCTGGACCATTTCAGTACCGGCCGACGGACCTTCCCTGCTGATCTTGTGAATCTGCGATTCATTTACTCACTTCCAGGAGTCAGTGTAGGTGTCCAAGTAAGAAAAAATCAGATTTTGACCAACAACCATGGTCAATGTTTAGGGTTGGGGCATGGTGGGGCACCCACAACACTTACAACCAAGAGACCTCTGCTTGGAAGCACTGCACAACAAAAAAGTCCGGCTTTTGCGAGAGATCCAAGAGTTTCTGTACGCTATTCTTGTTGGCTATCCCCTTCTTTTGCTGGGCTCTCCACTGGTGTTTCTCGGTTGGATCTCCACTTCCCTTACATCCCAATATGCGTGTGGGGGCATAACTCACATGGTTCTTCCTCAATTCATCCAATACCTCTAATTTGAAATGACTTCAAAAACCTACACTGACCACCAAATTGATACAGAAAAGGTTCGCATTGCTACTATTTCATGACTGGATGTTGATTGTTTCTGCTGTATTGTTTAAAACGATGGGGTGAGCAACATTACTAAGTATGAATATAGTAACTGTTGTTGATTGTCTAAATATCAACATCAACATAGTATCCAATTATGTGTGTCTAGTACTAGGTACTATATCAATAATTCACTATTCAAAGCTAATTGGAGGTGATTTAATAGATAAGTAGATAGCTACAGTAAATATTATGAGATTGTCCTCATATTGTCCAAGTACCCATAACGTCGTCACTTTATACTGCCTGGGAACAGGACTCCCTCTTCATGGATTATGATTGTGATAATCCCCGTAGATTGGCATGATACCCTCTAGACTCTAGTTATTTAACATAGCCATGGTATAGATGGCCCATTTATAGATGGTTTACCTATTAAAAATGGTGATTTTCCATGGCTATGTTAAATAACCAGATGGTAATCCCCTCTTTCATCATCAATCAGTCATAATTTATATGAAAAAATCCACGTATATCCGTATATCCCATATTTTGACGAAATGACGAACTACTCATCAACCAATCTGAACATTTATCAATGATATCCCCAAATATTTGATGGTTATAAGTTTATAGATGCTAATAGATGTTAATAGATGTTAATATATGCCAATAGTTTTTTCAGAACCCCCTTTACAAATGAATATAACTATTAAATAGTATTAACATCTTTTAACTCATAACCATCAAAAGATCAATTTTATATCCCCCTGTTGCTGAATTCCCCCTTTAAAAAACAGCTTTGTCGCAGCTGTGCCTCAAAGGTCTGCTGCGGCGAGGTGGCGGCTCTTAGCTGGACGCCAAGTTGAAGAGGATGCACCTAGCGCGTGAGGATCGCCCTGAAACCTCCGGGGGCTTCACCGAGAAGTCCAAAGAACTATGGCGTGAGGATCAGCAAAACCACCGGTGATGGCTTTATGACCCAAAAAATGGGATTTGAATCTGGCGATGACCAGCAAAAATGCTGGTAATTTCGGCAAAAATTGGGATGTATGATGTCAACACAGGGTTGAACTGCTGCATTCCACCAAAAAAAAGTGAAAGTTCACAGGGGATCCCAAGATTTCACATCCGTTGAGGCAATGGCCACCAGCCATCCAAAGGACATGGCTCAGAAAAGCTAGTGGCAATCGAATTCAAATAAAATTGATACAAGGCCATGAAGCCAATTGAACCCATAACCCCTCAGGGTTTAGGGTTTTTTCCGGTTCTCAACTTGCCATGAAAACCCGTAAGTGGCAAGAATCCGGAACCAGATCTCAACCATTTGGGCAAGCTGCCTGGGAGTAAAACAGCTGAATCTCCTTCTGTTCCAGCTTCGGAACCTGACAGAACACAGTCATTGCAGTGATTTGATTCATTTGATCTGCCATATTTCACCCATGGATTTCGCTGGCGATGGATGGTCCTGGATGGTCATCCCCTGATATGGGAAGTCACAGGCTTTTTTCGACGGAACCTGACCATCCCATGGGACGGTCCATCCCAAGCCAAGCCGCCATTTCGTGGTTGGTCAAGCGACCCAGAAAGAACTCACATCCTACCCCACCTTGGATCTATATGGAATTTCGAATTCCAAATGATTGAAATCAGACATTTCGAGTTGAAGCCGAGTTGAAACCTATGGGTGCTGCCCGTTTTTGTTGCCCAACACATTTGGAGGTTGCCTCTGAATTTTTCCTTCTCGAACAGCTGATTCGATTGGGGCCCCGCACCGGTGCTGCCTGCGCCCACACGGGGAAGCGCTCGCGACAGTCGGAACTGGGACAGGGGAAGATCGTGGCAATTTGGCGTAGCACAGGCTGGATATGGATGGATATACGTATACATTTGTATAATCTATGTATATATGGATATCCTCTGGTAAGTTTTACACTTTGCTATGGAAAATCACCGTTCTAAATAAGTAGGTCGTGGTAAATCATCGAACTAAATGGGCCATGTTCCATAACAAGCTGTTAAATTACCAGAAGGTAACTCGACCCAAAAAGAGAAGCAATCAAAAATGATGAAAAGTATGGATCTACCAAAATGTACATCAAACATCCCCTCAGGTACATTGGAGGGACTGTAGGTATTTCAGTTTAGACCTTTTTTGGTGGGTCTAAAATGAACTTGCCTGGGGGTTTTCAGTATGTTTTCGTTAAGTGTTCAGACCCTACCCTAGGGTTCTGGTCCCAGCCCTGGGCACGTGTTTCTGGTAGTATGTTAGCTGGCTAGGAACACTTTAGACCCTCAACGGCTAAGAACAGTTTAGACCTCTGGGGTTTCCAACCTGTACGGTCCCCCCCCCACATTTTGAAAAGAATATGTTCTGCAAGCTCCTTCGACCTCATTCGACCACCCCAAGAGTTTGCAAGCCTGAGATTTACAACCCACTGAATTCCATCAGGTAAATAGATTGTCCTTTTTCTTTTTCGGGAGTCCAACAGGTTCATTCAAGTCAATAAGGGTTCCAGAAAGCATTTGAGGATATTGAAGGATATCGCATTATCTATCTATCTATCTATCTATCTATCTATCTATCTATCTATCTATCTATCTATCCTTATAGGATTTCATGATAGGGAATAGAGCAGCAAAAAACACATACTCCAGATATGCTTTTCCTTCAAATCTGGCGGGTCTTTGTTGATGTTCCGTAGGTGTTTCTCATGGGAAAGGGTCAATAAGAACCAGGGAAATCCATTTCAGACCCATCAGGTAAATAGATTGTCCGTTCTCTTTTTGGGAGTTCAACAGATTCGTTCAAGTCAATAAGGGTTCCAGAAAGCATTTGAGGATATTGAAGGATCGAATTATATATCTATCCTTATGGGATTTTATGACGGGGAACAGAGCAGCAAAACACACATACTCCAGATATGTTTTTCCTTCAAATCTGACGGGTCTATGTTGATGTTCTGTAGGTGTTTCTCATGGGAAAGGGTCAATAAGAGCCAGAGAAATCCATTTCCGACCCATCAGGTAAATAGATTGTCCTTTTTCTTTTTGGGAGTTCAACAGATTCGTTCAAGTCAATAAGGGTTCCTGAAAGCATTTGAGGATATTGAAGGATATCGCATTATATATCTATCCTTATGGGATTTCATGATAGAGCAGCTAAAAACACATACTCCACCATACTCCAGATATGTGTTTCCTTCAAATCGACAGATCTAGTTCATACTGCGTAGAGGTTTTTCACAGTAAAGGGTGCAAAAAGAGCCAGGGAAATCTATCAGACCATGTAAACCGCAGTCGCCCACAACCAAAAATGAGAGGCCAAATGAAAGTTCTAATATGTTGTGAAGGTGCGAAGGTCTAACATGATCCCAAAAGGCAAAGGTCTAACATGGTGTTACCAGTCCTTACTTATATATAGTCAAAAGGTCTTAAGTGATCCCGGGCCAGGGTCTAAAGTGAAAAAATGACCATTCTAGACCTTGAAAATTTGGACCTCTAGGTAAACCATTCTAGACCCTCTTGTACTTGAGGGTATCATCAAACTACATATGTGTTTAAATAAAGTTGGAAGAAAAGAAGGGTCATGCGTTTTTGAGAGGTCCTTCGCGTGCAGCGGTCAGATGCAAAGCCAACCATCTGTGAACATCCAACCAGATGATCCTCGCATGGCCGCCCTTCATGGCCACTAGTTCTCTTCCACCGTTGAACATCCTGATGGTATCATTCTATAAACCAACTGCAACTGATTGTGTTGGGGTTTACCATTGATGGTGAAAATACATCTTAAGATGCCCAAGCAACTCTACGGGTTAAATCCCCGTTTGTACAACATTCCCATTAGTTTTCGCCAAAAAAAAACTCATGTAACTTGACTTCCTCTTCTTTCTCTGTGTGAGACGCTTTGCCATGGCTTGACCACAGTAAACCTATGTTTTCACGTATCCCAAATGGCCATGACTTGGAAAAAAATTGGGGCTAGCCCTCGTGACAAAACGGAAACCTCCAGGGCCTCCGAGGTGACGCACTGGGCTCCGTGACCTCGCAGAGGGAGCGGAATCCCAACGCCTGGGGGGGGGGGTAGTTTTTGTTGATTTTTGTGTGGTGAAACAGCTGAAATTCACCCAAAAATATTCTGAAAATAAGTGTTGCTCTATATATCTCTATATCTGTCTAAACATATATCTTAAATATAGTTGAGTGGAATCTTCAACCAAGCAAGATCATCTATGCCTTTGAACTTGTGGAAATCATGTAAAATCGGGAGAAACTGCAGGTGCTCTCCCAGACATCGCAACATCGGCAACATCATGTACAACACCTACTGTACCAGGTGTGGGAAGTGCAATGGGAAAGGGCCATGGTGCAAAAAGGGACAGGCTGCAAGGCCCAGACTCCGCAGGAGACGACGGCTCCCTCGCGCAGAAACTCCTGGGGCCACGGACGCAACACGGAGTTGGGACATTGCGTGGAAAAATCACATGGGATAATTATAGGATTGATATGGATTACCCTCTGGTTATTTAACATAGCCATGGTATAGATGGCCGATTTATAGATGGTTTGCCTATTAAAAATGGTGATTTTCCATGGCTATGTTAAATAACCAGATGGTAGTATGGATGAATGGGACAATAATGAGAACAACATGGATTAGTATGGATTAATATGGATTAATTGGATGAATAATAGGATTATTGGAATGACAGGATTAATATATGGATTAATGGGATCATCATGGGCAAAACACGTTGGATGAAATTGACCGAAAAAGATATGGGATGGCATACCCTCTGGCAATGACTAACATAGCTATTGAAAATTGCAATTTATAGTGAGTTGTCCCATTAAAAATGGTGATTTTCCATAGTTATGTTAGTTTACCAGAGGGTAATGTGGGTAAAACAATGCCATAAACCATCCCCCAGTCATCACCAGTTTTTAAGGTGGTATGGTTACCATTCCCAAACCGGTAATTAATTAATGGGATAATAACTGGAAAAATTATTAATATGATAATAATTGGGAGAATATATAATTGGGAGAACAATTGGGATAAACCCTCTGGTAATCAAACATGGCTAGCTGGAAATTCTCTGGACTAAATGGAGGCTTAACAAATGGAGGTTTATAGCTGGGAAAGTCATCTATGAGAAGTTTTCAATTGCCAGGAGGCTAAGCAAGTTTCTGGGATTCGACCCTCATGTACTAATGTTGCTATATATACAATGTGAGGCCCCCAAGATAGCTAAGTTGGTTTATAACTCCAATAACTATGGTTTATGGTACTTATAACTATAGTTACTGGGGCTTATAAACCAACTTATAACTGGGGGATCTCACATTGTATATATATATATACGTATATATATAATATATATATGTATATTGGTATTAGAATCACGTTGTTTTTGGTGCGAGAGCTTCTGGGTCTAAGATAACGAGAATAAAGAATCCCCAAGAAAAAAACTCAAGGGGCGCTATTCACATAATCACAAATTAAGGGTATACAGAAAAAGGTACCACACACGGATATATTGCGATGACTCCGATGATTCCCACTTGGTGGGCCCGAGACCCTGCCACAAAACGTTGTCCTTTGGTTCACCAAATACTGCGCCTGCCACAAAAAATGACCTCCAAAACCACCTCTCATTTTAACTCACGCCTGCCAACATCTTAGCCAACATGCAGAAAGTGCCACGCCTGCCACGTGGATGAAAAAGTGTCCGATGTCCTGCACCTGTCACGCAAAACAATGTTCTAGACCCCAAAATGTCTCGAAAGTGCGACGCCTGCCACACAAAGCGGACATAGCTCCAAAAACGAGCACGGCACGCTGGTAATTCTTTTACCCCTACCGTAAGAACCCCTCAGTGTGGACACACTGCTTGGGGAAAAATGTGCCTTTGAGGCCGTGTCCACGATGTCCTAAGCCTCTAGCAGAGCGTCTCCGTCTTGAGCTGCTTCAAACCCTTTCTGGATTACATGTGGTTGGGAAGCACTAGCTGCTTGGCTCCTTATTTCAAAGTGAAAATCATGGAAAATGGACTCCAATTGCTGGGATGTTTGCTGGTTGGCTTATATCCAATGGCAGCTGGTGAGGCTCAGGGAATCCGGGTGTTCTTTGAGACCATAGCACATTCCTTTTTTTGCAACCCCCGAGTGAAGACTGAAATAGGATCGTCCGTCGCGATTGAAAAAATAGAGCTGCAAGGACAGTAAGGAATCGAGTGGAGCAGCAAGTGGGGGGTTTGGTGGTACGAGTAGAAAGCCCAATGTCCCAAGTGCAAAGCCAACACCATTCAAACACAACGCCAGTGCACACCCACTTTCTGTTGGCTGAGAACCACTTCTTGCATGACTCATACGAGATGGCCCCCTAGTTATAAGTTGGTTTATAACCACCATTAACTGGAGCTATAGCTACCATAAACCATAATTGATCTAGCTATCAACCAACTTAGCTATGGTTTGGGGGCTCCACCTTGATATCAGCTATCCTTGATATCCTGTATTCTCCTGCACCAAAAAGAGTTTGGGGATTTTTATAGCATAAGATTAGCTAGGATATGAAGGTCTTTGACCCAGAACTTGCCAGTCCTCGCTCGGAAGCGCAGGCATCGGAGCTGCCTAGGAGGCGGATGCAGCTCAGGGTCATTTTGGGTCAAATCGGGCGTCCTGGTTACAGGGTGATGCGTACCCCAATGGTACAATGTGAGACCCCCCAGTTATAAGTTGGTTTATAAGCCCCAGTAGCTATAGTTATAAGTACCATAAACCATAGTTATTGGAGTTATAAACCCATGGAATGTTTAAGAAGTCAGTACTGGGGAAGTGTCCAATGATGTCGAGATATGTCGAGTGTCAGGTCGGACTGCCGGAGGGACATTTCTCCGCGGGATGTAGGGTCAGCAAAGCGTGTGTCTAGTACGAGGGATGGAGATCCCAGACATACTAGGGCCTTACTGAGGGGTTAGGCCACAGATACGCTAACCCAATCTGAGTGGGATTTGCCCGTCCCCCCGGTTCAATGTTGTCTTCTAAGTTTGGTGTTATGCAGCCTTGAAGAGAAACAACCAAAGGCCTTTCCTGTTGATGTTGTTTGCAACTTCCAGTCGCAACATTGAAGCTGGAGGGGACAGGGGTAATTGCAATATCGCTTCGACTTCCAACAGATAGCGTTTTCCTAAGAAACCGGTAGCACAAATCGCAGGGCCCAATATCAACCGGGGCATGTGTACACGTGAGCCACTCGGAGCCGATGTTTCTTTTTCAGGTTCCGGTAGTTCCAGTCAAATTCCAATTTGTTGTTACTGATGAAATACTTGTTTTCTCCATATTTGAATATGTTGAATCTATTGTTTTAATGGTTTTTCATGTGTTTCATGGTTTCTTCATGCTTGATTCCTCCTTTAAATAGCTATTGTTCATGGGGAATCTGCACGGGATTCCGCGACCGCCGAAAGTAACGTGCCTGCTCAAAGGCCTCGGGAGATTCCAAAGAGCCTGGCTGGGATGACTCGAATGTGGGTGGATCGTTAGGTTGTACATTTGTGCGTGTTCTATATATATAATTATCTATATCTATATACATACAAATATATAATATAATATAATACATGTATATATATATGTACTTATCTATATTATACAAATAATATATATATATGTATATATATATATATATATACGTATATACATATATATATTTATTTATATACGGGATCAAAAAATTGTGCTGTGCCCACGTTTTGTTGGAAACCATCGGCAACATTGTTGGTGAACTTCAAATTCTCGCCTGCAGAGGCTTCCGCCATCTCCAATTGAAGTCGTTCCACCTGGTATCCACTGTTGATGGTGAAATTTGAGGCTAGCTGGGTGGTTAATAGCTGATAACCCTAGTGAAGAAGTCCCCGATAAGTGGGAACTCGTCCCATCTACAAGTGGGAACAACACGTTAACAACACGTTTACCAATTATCAACTGGGATGGTCCTTCAGCTACTGATGTGGCAAAGCCAGCTGGTGTCTTTCAACAGACTTTGCGCTACTCGCAAATGGGTTCCTGTGTCATCCCAATCTCCTTGCCCGCACTTGGTTCTTATAAATAGGATATACACAAGCAAGATGACAGGCAAAGAATAAGTTTGTATTGAACAGATGCCATGTTCAGACATCAGATTCTATTCAGGTGTCCATTGCGAGTATGAGTATGTGCTTAGACTCCATGTTTGGTGGTTGCAATGCGCGGAAAACAATAATCATTGAAGGCTACAGTACATGTTCATTGTTCATTACATCAACATACATCAATGTTTCGGTAGATACTCATTGAGCTCCCAGGTTGGGGACAAAGAGTCTATCCATAACTACTCCGGATGGTCAAGACCCCTAAATGCTTCACGATTGTCTCATGTGCCCGTCAATCCCATCCACTGTTGCTGAAATCTCTCCTTTTGTTTTGCTTCAACAGCCATGCAGATTGATCACGTTCTCCATGTTCAAATCCGCTAAAATCATCACATCACCGAAACTCCGTCAAAGTCCCACCCTTTCAAAAACCTTCAACTCCATGACCAGGGACCCATGCCATCCTCAACCAGCCACAGGCCCCACTTACCTCACTTTCATCTTGCCGGTATCGATACAAGGCTTGGTGCGCTTCGCTGTGTTGCATCTCCCGACAAATGCGCAGCCTCTCCTGGGTGTGCGACTTGGCATTTTGAGAAACACGGGAAGCGCTTCACCAACCATAGAAGGTTTAAGAAAAGATGGGGAAGAAATCATACCACACAGAAAACTAGATCTTAAACATGTTGAACAATAATCATGGACGTTTGAACATACAAAACTGCTGCGATAGAAGTCATGAACGGAGGAACTTCTGGTTGCCAAGCATGTTCTTGACCTGATGACTGGCCACTGCTCATCCCAAGAAGCTGTTCCTATGTTTGGTGCCTGGACAATAAACGCTTTCCAATGTACCAGAAGTGGCTGGTCTAAACCAACCCCAAACTGGGTATCATTGTGTGACTTTGACATGAAAATGAAAAACCAGCAACCAAACATTTCCCGTTCAACATCGCTCCAGATTGGGGAGCTTGGGTCGTTTTTGCTGGTCGAAATATCCACCAATTGGCTCTGCAATCAACCAGCGGTTTAACTTCTGGAGATTTCGGGAGGCAAACCACCAACAAGAACTGATTGGTGGTGTGGTTGAGCCAACCCCTCTGAAAAATGATGGAGTGAAAGTCAGTTGGGAGTATAAAATTCCCAACTGAATGGAAAGTCATAAAAAGTCATGTTCCGAAGCACCAACCAGATAAGAATGTCTAGACCGTTCATGTGGGAGCCTCAACCAAACAACCAAATTGGGGATACAGCCAATAAATCGAGGCTAGACTTGTAGAAGGATGGTTGCTTAAATAATCGTCCCGATAATCCCATGTAACATCCCCAGCCACAAAAATCTCAGATTTCAATGGCAATGAAAAATTGGAATAAAATGAGGGGATCGTTGAATGGTAATACTCAACCATCCAAATTTCACATTCGCGCAAGAAACAATCGTTGAATAGCTATGAAAACCCCCCGAAAAGATCCCGAAAACTGTGAAAGCATCGACCTTTCAGGGTATCTACATGCACTTCACAATTCATTTTCCAAACCCTCCAGGACCATGACTTTCCCAGGAACATCATTTTATACGGGGTCACAGATTGATGGCCCCGGTAAAAGTTGATTAGTATGCCATCAATACGGAGGAAAAAAAACTCTCAAAACGACACTTTTTTTGCAACACTAAGATGGCACACAGGGGTCTTTGACACGTATTTCTCGTGTCGGTCAAACCATAAATCACACTTGGATGGCATATATAGGGTGGCATGTTGTGCATTTATAGTTCCGGGCTTTCCCAGCCGCGTTTGAGTTTTTTTTGTACATCAACTCCATCAAATCCCTGTAAATCACATTGAATGTCACTAAATCCCACTTAAATCCCAATTATGTTTGGCTAAATCACCATTCAATCACCATTCTCCCTTAAATTCATCTCATCCTTGCTCAACATTCAAAAAATCCCCTGAAAAAAATATCAAATTCATCCCTTATTCATCCCATCCATATTCATTCCATAGAGAGAGGGAGAAAGAGAGAGAGAGAGAGACTCATATTCCCACCATCCCAGCCCCATCCCTCCAGAAATCCCATCCCATCCCGGTCGCCTGCGCCTCCTCCAAGCGCTGCTGCAGCCCTTCCTGGCGCTGCAGCCGCTCCGCCTGCTGCGCCGCGTGCTGCGCTGCGAGGCGCCGCAGCGCCGCGGCCGTCGCCTCGGCGCCGGCCTCGGCCTGGTGGCAAACATCGTGAGTTGAGGATCTTTCATGGTGATATTCTTGGGGAAATCATTCTATACACTCTGGCACTCTGGTAAACATACAAAAAGCTATGGAAAATCACCAAATGAAATGGGTCAATCAACTATAAATTGGTAATTTTCAACAGCTACCTTAAATTACCAGAGGGTAATATATAACTTAACTTCATGATAACCAACTGAACTTCTTAGTATATATAACCAATTCGATGTGATTCAGATGCCCGAAAACAAAGTCACAAGAACCAACGGTTTGTGCTAGTTTTGAAGAAACCGTTGATATGTGGCCAACTGATTTCCTGAGTAAACATCCCCATGAACAGAATGACGAAAACTCTGGATGTGAAGAAGTACCAAGTTTTGATCAGCTGGATAATTTTGGGGGTGACATGTTGGTATTGACCCAGAACAAATTTCTACTTGGTAAGACATTGGTTTGGAACCAACAGAACAGTGAGCTTCTTGCTGCACAAAAAGGAGGACTCTTGAAAAGTTTTCAGGGTGATGCCATACATGTATGACTATATATAACCATATATATATACACGTACTATACATAACTATATACGTAACACTATGTGTAGATATATATATATACATATAAGTACATATTGTTATAGATTGTATGTTCACTTTGTATTCATATAACTCTATATAAATAACCCGGAAATCTCTGGCTCTCAGGGTTGGTAAAATTGGTAGGATCAGCTCCAGCAGCCCTTCAAACAGGTCAATGAACTCCCCGACATGGGACATCCCAATCAGCTACATTTGGGCATCGCTCAAAATGGATTAGCCAAAATATGGATTGAACATGATTTCATCTTCAAAAAGGCCAGTTATAATGATAATAATTGTAATAATAATAATAGTAGTAAATAGTAAAAACAAAAATAATCGGAAAAAAACGCAATGACACTATGTAACAATAATATTGTGTATATACATTGTACATATATATATAATATGATAATATTATAATACATGATATAATATATAGTACTGTATGTATGCTCCAAATTGGAGCCATGCCATGCCATGCCAGCATTGCCATGTGCACATGCCGCGTCTCGAGCACTTTTTCGCTTTAGAGCTCCGACCGGCCGAAGACCGCATCGTTCAGCGGCTGGGAGGTCTGGGCACCGTCCGCCGGCAGCCCCGAACCCTCCGAAGTCCAGGACCAAATGCCTGAGATTTCGAAAATCAGGGGAAAATCCCTCAAGGTTCATGTCTTTAGTAGCTCAACATGATACAACCAATTCAAATCATCCAAAATGTTGCTATTCGTGGGAGTTGAACTGGATTTTCGGAGTATCTTTTTTAGGTAAATCAACGAACTAAAGCTATGTTAAATTACCGGTATCAGGGCCTCATCCCCTTGGGTCATACCCTCTGGTCAAACATGGCTTGCTGGAAAATGCCGAATAAAATATCGTTGATTTTCCCGGAAACCTCCATTGATAGGTTTTCCCTTGCTACTCGTTTGATTCCCAAATTGTAATCAAAACAAAACTCGTCACAATTCAACAAGGCCCGAGGCCGGTCACTACGATCTTCCAAGCGGCGCCACATCTTTCGAGCGCTCTGGCCCTGGTAGGGCTGGCGACTATGCAGCAAGCGCCAGTTATCCAAGATTAGAGCCTCGCCGGAACGTAAGTAGAACCTCAATTTCTGCGAAGTGTCTTGTGTCCCAAAAAAAATGGACAAACATGGACAAACGATGTGGCTAATCTTTGATCCTCTGCCAAAAAAAAGGACACTTCATGACACTTCTTAGTTGGTTTCAGTTATAAAATATGCCCGTTGCATAGGCTATGGCCCATCGATCCGCAAGGCTTCGGAGTTTGTTTCTCTCTGATCAGCTCACCATTTGCAGCATCCAACTCAGGGCATCAAACGATCATCAAACGAATGGTGATATGAAGAAATTTAGATCATCAATGAATTGTGTTGGGTGCATCCCCAAATACATGGTATCATGGTATATCATATGATAGTTTTATGATAGTTACCCTCTGGTAAACTAACAGTTTGCTATTGAAAATGGCCATTGAAATAGTGGATTTATCCATTGAAAATGGTGATTTTCCATAGCTATGTTAGTTTACCAGAGGGTATATCATGTTATTCTATTCCTCCAAAATGGCTGAGCATCTACCTCTTCCTCTGGAATTAACCAAGCTGAACACTTCGGCCACCATTTTTTTGTTTTTCCAAGTGACATTCAGCATCATTTGGCCAGATCAATGAATCATCCATCTTTTCATTTCTGGAAAACCCCTACATGGTAACCCCCAAAAAGAAAGAAACACATACTTCCAGGTTTCCTACTGTTCTATCTATTTTGGGCTTGATTCATATACCCTTTTCTTCATGGCAATAAAACGTTCATCACCCCCAGCCTCAAAGACCTGATCAAAAGTTCAGTATCCAAAGTGATGTGAATATCTGTCAGAAAAGAAAAGAGACTCATCATTCTCCAAAAATATTGAACCAAGATGTGAATATCTGTCTTTCAGATGTGAATATCTGTCTTTACAAAAATCCTCCAGATCACTCTCCAAAGAATATTGAACCAAGCAGCAAGCCTTCTCGCTCCGCTAGCCCGGTAGCCTTCTGCCTCGCGCAAATTGCTTGCAAGTCTTCATGGGGAAGCCAGAAAACATCGAGGACATTTACGAAACGATGGGGACACCACCAAAAAACGGATTGAATAAGCCATGTCAATCCGTGTTACCCTCTGGTAAACTAACATAGCTATGGAAAATCACCGTTTTTAATGGGAAAATCAACTATAAATGACCATTTTCAATAGCTATGTTAAATTACCAGAGGGTAAGTCATTTTACTTTGTTAAAAACCTTGTACCCCTGGTGAACATCAAAATAGCTGGTAAATGAGTGTTCATTCCCCTAAAAATGGTATTAATAGATTAATAGGTATTGATCCATACCCATGTTTGGTCCACTATGGTCAGCTGATTTTTAGCCCGAAATCCCATGGGATGGCCAGGTCCATTCATATCTTTCTCCGCGACATTCCCCCGGAAACATCATTAAAATCATCAGGGCTAGCCCATGGCCATACTTGGCCTGAAAATGGCCATTTTTGGGGGTGTAAATGGTGATTTTTTCCCCAGTGGATTTCGGAATAATTTCCTTTCAGACAGGTTGCAGCTGGAGATCGACCAACTCAAGCTTTTGCTGAATTTCTTGAGCCTCCTACAGAGTCGGCTGAAATCGTGGTGCCCAGGGGTGTCCATGGGGGTACCCAGGGGTTGCCAGAAATAATGGGGCGGACGACCCAAAAATGACGAAAAATTGACTACTAACTGGGGAGAATGATGATGAATGAGTATGACTTAATAACCATGATTGATTTGGGGGGACCCTATTTCCAGACAAACCCATCATGACCCGCATCGGTAGAATCCCTTTTCTGCAGAGGATCATAAAAACCGCAAAGTGCTGGCCATACTTTCCACCAACTGCGGCTCCCATGATTCCACGGGTACAAAGTTGGCTAACATGATTTTGGGGTCATACACCCTTTTTGAGCTTTTGTTTGTACCCAACTAGAAAATATCAATTGGCTTAGACGATCATGAAACCCAACCCAAAAAATGACCATAAATTTGGGTATAATTACCTTATTTCTATAAACTCATACATCCTCAGATTGTTGGTTACCCTCTGGTAAACTAACATAGCTATTGAAAATGGCCATAGAAATAGTGGATTTACCCATTAAACATTGTGATTTTCCATAGTTACGTTAAATTACCAGAGGGTACATCATGTTGTATCTCCATGATATCCCAGTATATCCCCCATTGGTCTTGCTGAGAGGATCCATCTGAGATGGATCACCCCTGATTGAGATGGACCCACACAGTTTTTCGAAGGAACGAGAACCTGCATCCAGTCCTTTGAATTGATCCCCTTTACCCTCTGGGAATCTAACATAACTACGGAAAATGACCATATTAATGGATATATAATGGATAAATCATCTAAAAATGGGGCCATTTCGGCCATGTCACAGTTCTCACTGGAAAAACCAGAGGGGTACGCCGCAACTCACTGGAAAAAGACCTTCACATCACACGGTACGCCCAATTTAAGCCTGTTCCGAAGCGTTGGGCAGCGGCTTCCACAGCGACAGGTATGCTGACGTCTCGTGCTGATCACCGCGCTGGGCATGGTCCAGAGGCTTCCAGCCTCAGCTGGGGAAAGAATGAGGAAACCCCTTTCCTGCTTGGTGGTTCCACCCTGATGCGAAAGTCATTTGGGATCAAAAAATATCCGAAATATGGTTCAAAAGAACCAATAATTGAAACCACCAGCCAGTTTCTGCGGGTGAAGGAGGTGGGTATATGCCATTTACCTATCATTACCCAGAGTTGTGACTCCAACCAGTGACACCACCAGTATTCGCGGTGAGATGCAGTGGACCTATTCATCGTTCTACTGGGATGGTCAACACTGAAAAAGTGTCAACGTTGGCTCTGAAAACCAGCTTGCAAGGGTGAACTGGTTCATATCATTCCAGATCCATATCTTAGTGTATGGATGTGTATGGACTAGACTATCTATCAAGACTATCATACCAGGTTACCCAAAAAGATGAACCCCAGCAGCTTCGGCAAACTTCAGGAGAGTCGCAGGAAACCCCTAGCTGAAGCCCATCATTGGCAACCGTATCCCCATTTCACAAAACCAACCGTAGAAAGCTCTGGCATCGGCCACCGTTGGCGCGGTGGAACCCCGGATCCCCATGACAGCCACCTTCAGGCCCAAGCATCTGTCGGTGCGCTGGGCTTTTTCCACGTTGATCTGTCTCCGCCATTTCAGGCGCTCACCATGGTACTGGATCACCTCAAAGCAGCTGGAAGCTGGATGGCTAATGAATGGATGAGAAACGGCTTTAGAAAATATCTCTACAGATATTGTCTGAAAATGGCTTCTAGACCCCAAAATACAAAATTGAAAAGGGACCATCATCATTAGCTCGTTATTTTTAGGGGTACCCCATATTCAAACAGACCCATGTACCAAAAAGTTGGGTCCTTTTTGTGTTCTCCACTTCATCCACTTCCACAAAATTGCTGCCACCAGCTCCAAATGACGTTGGTAAACCACCCCTTTGTCTGAGTTCTTTGGTTTCTCTATCCACCGGTGTTCTACACCCCAAATTCTGGAGTGGCTTCGCAGGGTGCTTCAATCCCAACTTCTGGGAAGGTGAAGTCTAACTCGTTCCCGCTCCATTCCCCATGTTTCAGAACTAGAATGAGACTTTTCCCTGCCCAAAACGATCCAAATCGATCCTTAAATTATTGATGTTGATCCAATTTCACCCCAGTTGACCCAATTTTCACTGTTCAAATTCCCATTTTCACCAGTGAACTCCCCATTTGTCCACCGACCCAATTTGCATCCGCAGTCACCGGCCCCTGCGCAGCGCGTCCAGCGGTAATACCTTGGTCTCCTTCCGAGAGATCCACAGAGGTCTGTTCCTTGGCTCAGCAGACAGGACTTTCACCAGCAACACTTGGGGATTTAACACTGGAATGCATAGGGAATGATAGAGGGAATAAAAATTGGTTTTCCGTTTCCATCACTTTTTTATATATTGGGGATGATTGAAGAGGAATGCAACAAGATCCAAAAAAAGGCTTCTGGGTGAGGTGGTTGTGTTTGTGCTTGTGGTTGATGACCAACAAACACCAACATGATTGAACCAAGAAAATATATCAATGAGATGCGAATGAAACCATCAAATATGTGGACTGACTCATCAACAAGAGTGGATTAGAGAAATGTTGAGGTACAATCAACACCAGTGCGGATTTTGACCGAGAAAAAAGTGGGAATGAATCAACAATTTTGACTGGAAAAACTCCGCATTTTTTGACCAAACAAAATGCGGGGTCCAAGCAACAACCATGAGGATCATTTGGATTTAAACAACCCAATTCCCTCCCAAAAAAGATGTTGGTCGACTGGGCCTCCATGGCAAATCATGGCAAAATGTGGGTTTTGTGCCCAGATTCTAGCCATCGAACCAGCTCAGGGTCCTCAGGAAAACTTGGTGGTTTCACCCCAATCCGAACATGAAAACTTAAGACACAATACCTTCTCCCCCAATATTCAAATGATGTGCGCTTGTATATGTATGATATATATATATATATGCATGTATGGATGGATGGATGGATGGATGTATGCATGTATACTGTATGTCTGTATGTCTGTATGTCTGTATGTCTGTATGTCTGTATGTATGTATGTATGTATGTATGCATGCATGCATGTATGCATGTATGTTTGTATTGCAATGTATTGCAATGTATTGCAATGTATTGTAATGTATTGTAATGTATTGTAATGTATTGTAATGTATTGTAATGTATTGTAATGTATTGTAATGTATTGTAATGTATTGTAATGTATTGTAATGTATTGTAATGTATTGTAATGTATTGTAATGTAGTGTAATGTAGTGTAATGTATTGTAATGTATTGTAATGTATTGTAATGTATTGTAATGTATTGTAATGTATTGTAATGTATTGTAATGTATTGTAATGTATTGTAATGTGACGTAATGTGACGTAATGTGACCTAATGTGACCTAATGTGACGTAATGTGACGTAATGTGACGTAATGTGACGTAATGTGATGTAATGTGATGTAATGTGATGTAATGTGATGTAATGTGATGTAATGTGATGTAATGTGATGTAATGTGATGTAATGTGATGTAATGTGATGTAATGTGATGTAATGTGATGTAATGTGATGTAATGTGATGTAATGTGATGTAATGTGATGTAATGTGATGTAATGTGATGTAATGTGATGTAATGTGATGTAATGTGATGTAATGTGATGTAATGTGATGTATGTATGTATGTATGTATGTATGTATGTATGTATGTATGTATGTATGTATGTATGTATGTATGTATGTATGTATGTATGTATGTATGTATGTATGTATGTATGTATGTATGTATGTATGTATGTATGTATGTATGTGTATGTATGTATGTATGTATGTATGTATGTATGTATGTATGTATGTATGTATGTATGTATGTATGTATGTATGTATGTATGTATGTATGTATATATAGACATATATGGGTTTGTCTGAACATAGGGCGCGGCACCAAAAATGCTTATATAGTTCCCATATGTCCCCTCTCAAGATTACAATTTGATGGGCTAAATTCACCATTTTCAAACAAACAGATACAAAGATCGTTCAAGATATTTTCATATGTGTATGTAATATATAAATAAATATATATATATATGTAAAGTCACCTCCCCAAAAAGATAGAAAGTAAATCCTACTAAAATAGGCATGATTTACTTTTCTATCTTTTTGGGGTACTACTTGTATTGAAATAAACCCAATAATAAAATAAAACATCATATTAAAAATCCGTTAGGCGATCCTTTTCGATCATCCCAGTCATAAGGGCATACCCAATGTTGTAAAACTCTATTGAGGATGGATTATTGTTGGGTTTACCTCATGATCATCGTAATCCAAACAAAAATAGAAAAATAAATCATCACTATTTTAGTTGGATTTCTCACTCTTCTAGCTTTTGTGTGGTGACTGTGTATGTATATATATATATACAAAAAAATGTTGTGTATATGTATAGTAATCCACCAATTAATAATGTGTTTACCATTAAAGCCTCCGATTGTAGATTTATCATTTATAGTTTTACATTTACGTTCCTATCTTTTTGGGGATTACTGTTCATGTATATATATATATACATATACATTACATTACATTAGGTTACGTTACGTTACGTTGCATTACGTTCCATTACATCACATATAAATGGATAATATATCATCTCTCAGTATGGGAAAAATCATCTATACATGAAGGTGTCCTAAAATGGGGGTACCCCCAAATCATCCAAGTCATTAGACCATTTTAGTTTTAGGCTTCACGCGGATAGAAACCCGCATCGTTTCGTGCATCAGAGCATTTTTCTTTTTTCTTGGATTTTATGATTCATGTTCCGCAGCCATTTGCATGTTAATTTTCCTGCGTTTTCCCATATAATTTCAGCTTGCCTCATCATGCAGACAAATTTCATCGTTCAACAAATCAAATTTCATGTGCAGAAAAGTGAAAAGCAGACACCGCAAAATTATCAATCTATGTTTACAGAAGTGACAAGCTTTGAAGAAGTGAAGTTGTCATATACAAGAGCATCAAAGTTTCAACCTCTTGCATGATGTGTGTGTGTGCAAGTTAACATGAACGTGTTTACCCCACCCCACCCCACCCCACCATAGCGTAGCATGACGTGTGTGTGTGTGTGCAAGCGCAAGAGAAGATCACCCTAGCGTAGCATGACGTCGGTGTGCAAGTTAACATGAACGTTATTACCCCACCCCACCCCACCCCACCATAGCGTAGCATGACGTGTGTGTGCAAGCGCAAGAGAAGATCACTAGCGTAGCATGACGTGTGTGCAAGCGCAAGAGAAGATCACCCTAGCGTAGCATGACGTCGGTGTGCAAGTTAACATGAACGTTATTACCCCACCCCACCCCACCCCACCATAGCGTAGCATGACGTGTGTGTGCAAGCGCAAGAGAAGATCACCCTAGCGTAGCATGACGTCGGTGTGCAAGTTAACATGAACGTTACTACCCCACCCCACCCCACCCTTTAGTAGGTTAACCCATGGTGACTTGGGGATACCCTAGGAAACCCCCACAAATCTATTGCTACATCCCAGCATTCTATACATATACAACATCTACTGTAGATTATATACAACAAGTATATACAAATCTATAGAAGATCTATAGACAACGACAACATATCTATACTATACATTACCCTCTGGTTATTTAACATAGCCATGGAAAATGGCCCATTTATAGATGATTTTCCCAGCTAGAAACCTCCATTTATAAGGGATTTTCCATGGCTATGTTAGTCATAACCAGATGGCATTAGAAATGGTTTATCTATCTATTTATAGACCTCTATATATATATGTATATATATGCTATATCATAGATATATTTATTCTGATGAATATCTATTCATCCGAATCATCCCAGCCAAAATCTTGTGCCAAAGCACCAGGCTTTCGAAGAATCGCCGGCCATCGATCAAGGTGTTGCCGCCCCCTTCCCTCGAGGGCTCCTGGCAGAGCAGCGCGATGAAGTCCGGCAACGCGTCGCCGTAGACCTCGAACCATGGAAACTGCCGGTGGTTCAAACGTGGCAAAAAAGGGGAATCCACAGAAAAATGGAGGATTCAACATGTTTTAATATGGTTTAGTATGTTTTAATATGTTTTAATATGTTTTAATATGGTTTAATATGGTTTAATATGCCTCAATATGTTTTAATATGGTTTATATAATATGTTTTAATGGGAAAATGTGGGACAATCATCTAGATATGGAGATGTTAATGGCAAGATATGGGGAACATCATCCAAAAAAAAATGGAGGTCTTAATGAGCAACTATGGGTTTGAGTACCAGCGGGTACTATTGGGTGGTAAAAGGTAGAAGTTTTTGCATCAACAAAAATGCATCATGATTGGGATTCAAGCAACAAACTATTGGGATAATGTGGTACACCCAAGAATAAATCCATCATTTGGGGATAGCTATTTACATCTGTTTACCAATCATTTCTGGTGAAATTGGGGATGGTTTGTTAATGGCTTCACCACAAAAAAAAAAAAAAACATCAATCTCAATGGAATCTAACCAACCACCGTTTCAAAAGACAAGCTTTGTCCAATGCATGGTCCGAGGTGCCTCGGTAGACTCTGACACATGTTTACCATGTCAAGCTCCAACAAGAACTGGTTGGTGGTGTACCTACCCCTCTGAAAAATATGAGTCAGTTGGGATGAATATTCCCAATATATGGAAAAATCTTCCAAACCACCAACCAGAGAAAACATGGCTGAGCAAATGAGGTCGCAGCATAGCCATCAGTGTGAGGTAGCAGCCCGCCTTTGTTGCAAGATGTTGCAAGTCAACGAGGCCGATGCCAATAGCTTCGAGGGGGTTCCCCTATGCAAGACTGACAAGGAAAGTGGATGATATATCACTGGAAAATCTCGGAATATTTTATCAACCGCAACTGCCAGTTTGACAAACAAAGACAATTAGCAAACAATTGATTTTTTATCAACTTACCCAAGGGGGGGGTCAATTTCACTACCAAAACTGCAGGCTTCCAAAAGCCTGCAGAGCGTTGGTGCACCAGTTCGGAAAATGCTGGTAGAAGGCAAACATGACTCCAACAATGAAGAAAGGTTTTGGTATATCGAACTAGTTCATGGGGATACCGTGGCAATTAAAAATCCAAGATCTATAGTTGATGTGTTTTCCATTAAAACCTCATGTTTTTTTCGGGTGTTCCATTGCCACTGTTGATTACCGGAGGGCATCCCCCGTAGTCGATGCTCCGTCTGCAGCCAAAACAACGAGGCTGTTTTTGTCCGTCTGCATCCAGTTGTGTTTGTTACCATGAAAATGTCAAGACATGTCAAGACCCTGAATGAGAAATCCCTAAATTATGATAAAATCCCATGATCCAGGTGATGTTCCATTCAATTGAATCTTCAGTCTATGGGATATACATGGATATACCAAGTGATTGTTGGCTCATGCGCCCCTTCACTAGAACATCAATAAACTCGTTGCACCTCAGAACATCTTGTCAAGCATCTTCCGGGCAAGTACTTCCTCAGTACAGGTTGGCTGTTGTGAAGTGTGAACGGAAAATCGATAGACCCATGAGTTTGGTCACGTTTTGAACCCAAGAGTTCAGTTTGAGCCGTCATAACAGCGGACCAACCTCGCGTTGCCTGTGACCATGAATCTATGGCTGAAATTCTGGGAGTATTAGTCATGGTTACTTTTACATCGTGTTTTTATGACAAATGGAGTCCTGTTTAAAATTGCTAAGCAATGCTAAGCCTACTTTTTTCCACCAACCACAATTGTGTTGGTCTATGTATGGCGTATGGTTTTTGAATCTTTTCACCAACTGGGGTAACCCAAGAAAAACCCTCCTCACCTGAGGCCGTCACTGATTCAGGTCGTCTGAAAATCCCCATAAGTTCGCGGCATGGAAATAAATAGAATGTGATAGAACATACTATGCCATACTATGCCATGTTATGCCAATTAATATTTCACCATGTTTGATATTTAATATTTATTTTAAGTTCCAACATATTCCAACAAATCTCCACCAGCAGCCCCCAGACGCGCTCGCATGCCACAGGGCGTCCCGCGTTTTTTGGCTTCCTCCAACTCTTCGTGCACCGCCGACACTGGCGCGTCGTTGGAAAACAACGAGGGACGTCCCGCCGTGCCGTTGAAGAGATCGTGGGGCAGCTGCTGCGCCATGGCACCTTGGGCGTGTTTGTCGAGGGGCGTAGCAACGGGGCTAGGATGGTGTATCCTCCGGTAAGGTGGGAAACCCATCATAAATAAAACTGTTATGAAATTGTAATGGGAAAATCACCGGCAGATATGGTGGAGTTTCCAGCCATGCTTGATTACAGGATGGTAATTTTTGAGAAGTTGAGGAGTTTTGCTGCGGGGTTAACATATTAATGTGGTAAACCCAAGAATCCGCTGACCCCTGCCGACAGCAAGGGGGCACAAGAACAATTTTATGCGAGAATTTACCGCGCCCCAGGAGCTAGGCGCACAGCTTGTGCGAGCTTGCACAATCGAAACGCACATGGACATGTCAGAAGAGCCATTCTGCATGGGAGAATTTACGGGAAAAATGCGCCCCAAAGTCGCGGGCGAGCCTGCGTCCACGATTCAGGCAAATATTTGCTTTATCAAATCTTCTCATTTCCGAAGAGTCAACTTAAAGATCCGTGTAGGCAACATATGCAAGATAAAAATCCAAGCGAACTCTGTGTAAACCGATGGCCGAGACAGGTGGGTCACCCGACTGGAGGGCTTCACGTGCCACCCTAAGCCAGGCGGAATTCGCAAATCCAGCTGTGGAGGGTTCCGCACGTTTTGGTTTGAGCATGTGCGTTGATGCTGCATTTTGCTTGTGTTTTCCTCATTTTTCATGGGATATGCGTGCAAGCTGTGTTCGGGAGGTCGCAGATTTGTTGTCAGGTATCCGTGCTTCTGGGTTCGTGGATGCTTGCATTTTCCTACAATATCCGTGCAAGCTGTGTTTTTGAAGTATACGAGCAGCTTTCTTTGCAGTCGTTGTCCGGGCGGCGCTAGTGAGGATGGAAGCGCACGAAACCCTATGTTTTTCCGTTCACACTAAGAAAAAAAGGTAGTGAATGGCCCATGGCGGTGAACACAAAAGGTTATAAGAAGAAAGGTGTCAAGAGAATGGGAGGCACCGTGCAACAGGAGGATTCCACCCTGTGCAGGGGGGGAGGGGCTGCACACTGAAACACACGAAGAAAATCGAAGAAACACAAACAAAGACGAAAGGCAATAAACTAATAAGACGTCAAAACACAAAAAGGTGTTGAGGAGAGCATGGAAAAAGAGAAGTCAAGAAAAAGTCCGTTTTACGGAAAATATGATCCAGAAGATAGCAGGGAAGTGAAGAGAGTAGGGAGGTGAAGAGTGAAAAGAATAGCGAAGTGAAGAGACTAAGGAAGTGACAAGGCTAGGGCCGTGAAAAGACTGGGGAAGTGAAAAAAGGTAAGAAAGTGAACGGAGTAGGGAAGTGAAAAGATCAGTGAAGACAGGAGAGTAGGGAAGTGACCTGACTAGGGAAAGGGAAAGACTAGGGAAGAGAAGAGAGTGGGAAGTGAAGAGACTAGTGAAGTGACAAAAGTAGGGAAAGAAGTTTGTCAGGAGAGACTAGTGTGTCAGGTCTCGGGCTCCAGGGCTGTCAACAGAAAGGGCTGTCAGGGCTGTCAACAGCAAGGGCTGTCAAGATTCAGAGATGTCAAGAGCAAATCAGATCGAGAGAAAGTGGCATCATCAGAAGAGGAAGTCGAGAGAAAGAAATGTCAGGGAGAGAAAGACGTCCAGACAAACAGCAGGCAACAGGAAGGGCTGTCACGGAGGATTTAAACCGACATGGGAGTTCAAAGCTAGCAGCCAGTACGACGCTTTCAGGGGCACAAAATAATGAAGAAAAAGATATGTGGTAAGATGATTACAAGCTGCAGTATGCAAAGATTGTGTGCTCTGCGCGCGCGCAAGATCGATACCAACACTCACACGATCAACATAACCCTTACAGTACATGGCATCGCCAGTGTGCGAAGCTCTACAATAAACCGTATCCAATAGGGGTCTATGAAATTGGGTTTACCACATTACGAATTATAGGTTTTGGTTGAGGATTCTGAGGTTGGCCAGCCTGCTGAGATGATTCTTCTTATTCATCGTTCATTGGGCTTGAAATGTCAGCAGGAAAGGAGCCCCTAAAAACATCATTCCGAGACGCTTGGGTAGAACCATCCCAGGTTGGAAATTGCAAATACCAAATGACAGCAATTATACTTGCGAATCAGTTATTTGGGTTACCCTCTGGTAAATTAACATAGACCCTGAAAATGACCAATTTATAGTGGAAACTAGTCTTCCAACCCCTATCTGGCAGGGTCTATGTTAATTTACTGGAGGGTAATTACTGAACTTTGCGGCTCATCCCAAAGATCGTAAGTTGGTGTTTTGAAAAAAATGAAAACAGGATGTATCACCTATACAGTAAAGAGGCACATGCAACCATGTGTGAATCTTCAACGTCATTTGGGGAGATATATTATCGGAATACCATTGTATATCAATGCGTAGGTAAATATTCGACATTTGGGACCGGTATGCAAAATGTGCCAAAAAGGAAAGACGCTGCCACGGTATTTTGAAATATATTGAGAATATTGCCTGTATACCATCTGGTTATGACTAACATAGCCATGGAAAGATCCACCATTTTTAAGTTCGGTAAACCATCTATTTCAATGGGCCATCTATTTTCCATGGCGAACTGTTAGTCATAACCAGAGGCTATCTCAGCTAAGGCTTTTTTGTCTGCATATCGCTGCGAATCTTCTTGTGTTACATATCATCAGTCTTCGCAGGTCATCCCTGAGAATCAACCACGCTGTGGATAGTGTGGTCTGCCCTGAAATATGATATCGATATCGCGGGGGTATTCCACCAATAGTCATGATTTGATACTTGAATGAGTTAAATGGTACCTTCCCAATTCAACAGCCTAATTAGGGGTTTATTCATCCAGGGTTGACATTATCTATCATATGAAACGAAACCCGGGTGAAGTGTATTGGATCTATGCATCGATTTAGGATGGTTGGTTTTCAATGGTCTTGACGCTGAACCCTCAGCGTGGAACTTACTTCAAAAACTCATTGTTGCTTTTTAAAACAAATGTGCAAAAGACATATATCTATATATACATACATTTTTAATGGGAAAATCCACTACAAATGGCCATTTTCAATAGCTATGTTAGTTTACCAGAGGGTGTATATATATATACATATATCTATGGATGACACATTCCCAGTCTCATCCACCACATGTCACCTTGAAATTTCTGCCATCCTTCGGGGCTTTTTTTGAGCGCAGCAAGTCATACCCAGCAACGAAAATCTGAAGAGGTCGAGTTGTCGAGGACGTAGCCAGTCACAATCACTGCCTGAGGGTCAAGATATGGTCGTCGTTTCCAAGATTTCCGAAGCATCTGAGTCCTTTCCAGATCAACCGATCATCCATTTAATGGATTAGTCTGAGGGAATATGTACGGAATATTTCGCGGTCCTGCTTTGCCCCAAACATGCAGCCAGAAGAACGTGGTTTTTTTCAGGGTCTGGCGGCATTAGATTTAATTTAATCCACCAACCTGACTGAAACAAAGCTATTTTGCCTATTTTGGGGTGGCTCCCTGGTGGCTCCCTTGCTAAGGTTTTGCTAATCATCAGTGACGTCGTGAGGTCCCAAGGGAAACCAGCCATGATGGCAATGCCGCGATGCCATACGAATTTTGGTCGTGTTGAGTTGTGGATTTTCAGAGTACCGTCTGGTAATGACTAACATATATAGCTATTGAACATGGCTCATTTAGTTCGTTGATTTACCTATTAAAGATGGCGAATTCCATAGCTTTTTGTATGTTTACCAGAGGGTACTGGAGTGGTAAAAAAAATAGCCCATTCACTTCGAGAGAGCATGAGCAGATGCTCCTGGCGGTGGTTGAGCCACTCATTGCAATCATTTGTGCGTCGTGACGCATCCCAGGTAAACATAAAAAATGAATCAAACTACCCAATTCATGTATCTATATGGTTATATTATATATATATACATATATGTATATTCAAAACTTATGAGTTTTAGATCTGTATGATTTTATCTCTTCAGACACATACATGTACACACATACACATATGCTAGAAGCATGTTTACCTACACGCAGCAAATGGTATGCATCCATAAGCATTTATGGAACTTGCAATATTCTGCTGAGATCTCTATGTGGTTATACCATAACTATAACGGTAACCCATATGTTGAGGCATGAAACGCGGCATTTCAACCAAACCGCGGTCCCAGTTGAATGGCAAGGCACTCCGTCTGTTCGCAAAGCCAGCATGACCTGTGGCGCCCAGCAGACTCTACAAGTTGGGTGCTCCCCGGGCTTTCCCCAACGAAGTGCCGCCTCTGTGATAAGTTGGCTATAATGTGGGAAAAACAATGCCATAAACCACCCATTTGGGAATGGTTAATACATGTTAATACCACCTATTTATGATGATTTGGGGGATGGTCTATGATTGTTTTACCCATATTAGTTACTTATTAGTTGGTTTAGTTTCACCCGTCCAATTATGGTTCAATCTTGTTCTCGTAGTTCCCAACAGAAACCTTTCAGTGAAAGCTGCAGTTGGCTGCGCAACTGTCAGATGGAAGAGCCGGATCCGTGAAAAAACAGCTGTCGGCTCCCGGAGTCACGATCGCACACTGCCCCCCAAGGGATCCTCAAAGCAACCTTCAGAACACCCAGTCAAAAATATCGAACCCCTCCACTTTGGAAGATGAAAGGGAACGTTCCATTCTGCGAGGCCACAACTTCCGCAACTTCGATCTCGCCGATCCGGTCGGACTCGGCGGTGATTCTCAGTCGCTATCTACAAATAGAATTGGCCATGAAGGCCACACTTCTCATTGTGGGCTTACCCAGACTCAAAAATTGAGTTACAGTATCATGCTAAAAATTACCCAAAACTATGGCCAACTGATGGGGGAAATGATGTTCGAAACGGAAAGTTGGGGTACCCCAATTTCGGACAAACTCCATATCATATCGTTGGTTGAATCAATCTCCCTTCTGGGTGGTTCTTCACTGTCATGTTCGTTGGTCAAATCCCAATACATTGATTGGGTAGATATAATCCCATATCGTAAATCATCACCCATCATTTATCAGTTATATCCACTAATAAGTCACGAATATCCCCATAGAATCATCAGCCAACGGGCCAACGTTCCAAGCCCATTCCAGGCCTTCCCCACCCATTCCCACCTCCTCCCAGTCTCCGCTGGCCACACGCCGCGGCACCGTTGGCAAAGGCGTTGAAGTTGTCACGCCCAGCGAGAGCGTCAAAGCAAGGAACCACGCCATGGTGGCCATGGTGGAATTCAACAACTATAAGGCACAGGTGGTGTGTGACCCACGTATAGGCTACGCATAGCTGGGGATAACCATTTTTGAAAGCTACAACTGGATCATCATATGGGGATGGGTCAAAACCCTGGTACCTAGTGAACCCAAAAATAGCTGGTAAATGGATGTTCATCCCACTAAAAATGTATCTATAGGTATTGATCCATAGCCATATGGGTGTTACAAGCGGATGCAAGAGTTTTTAATTCCCCCACTGACCGATGCACAACCGCCATGAACATGGTTTGCCCAGATGAAAGGGGTCAGGGTGTCCCATGAAACCGTGGGACTATCCGTTGATGATAGCGTGAATTTCCATCAACGTTTGTGTGGTGCAAATCGGGCTATAGATACCTTCATCGCGAAGTTTACGCATCACGTGGGGTCAAATAAGCCACTTGAGTGGATATAAGTGGTACGAGCTCAGCACGGAACAACCAAATCCCAGCGGCTTGTTGGTGCTGACCCTTTCCAGCAGTTGGTATGATCTCTGCAGGGACCAGTGAAACTTCGGGGGCGAAAATCACTGATTGGGATCTTCCTAATAGAATCGATGATCCCAAAACAAAAATGACCCTCTTGTAAACTAACAGTTTGCTATTGAAAATTGCTATTTATAGTGGATTTACCCATTAAAAATGGTGATTTTCCATAGCTATGTTAGTTTACCAGAGGGTATATCCCTTCCCAAATCCTCACAGTTTTTTCAGAAAGAAACTTCGCCTTTTATCTGGATTTTTTAAGTCTTGGATGAAAGTGGTTGATCCCCAAACCCCGCCTGCTGAGCCAGCAATAAAAGCCAGGGAACGCCCAACTATGATGGGGATGATGAGAGTGGGCAACCAATAACAAGGAAATACATCTATATAATGTGTATATAATATGTATATATCTATATATGTATGTATGTATATTTGGATACAGCCTATCATGAACATACTTGAATCGGAATCTCTCAATGATCATCTCAATGGATTGGGAAAAAAAATTACAGGAAAGCTCCATAGAAAAAATGGGAAAAAATCCATGGTTTCCGGTTGATCAATGGGAAAAATCCATGGAAAAAGATGGGGAAAATTGAAAAAAAAATGGGATTTTCCCAACTAAACCAATCCATTGATCATCAATGATCATCAGATTTCCCCGTCACTTTGTGGATTTTGTGGCATCCCAGCCCCTGCCCGGTAGAGCACCTCGGCCGTGCGCCGGAGAGGAGCACCTGGCGACAGGTAAAGAACGGAGATGATACGAATTCACATGATATAACTAAGACTAGAGTGTGTGTGTGTATAATATATATATAGAGAGAGAGAGAGAATGTGTGTGTGTATAATATATATATGTGTATATCGAAGTATTTGATAAAGTACATATATAATGATATATATATATATATGTATATGTTGTTGGGGCCAAAATGTTTCTCAACATAAAATTGCCGAACCATGCCTCCCGTGGGTTCAAAAGTCCACTTAATATACTTAATAAATGAGACATCCTACTGAGCGATAGCACGGGCGCCGGCTTGCGAAACAAGATTTTTTTGTTGACTGTCCATGAGATACATTGAAACCGGCTGTCAACACAGATGAAGCAGAAAAAAAACATCTGAAGACCCCGAAATCCCATTTACCCTCCGGTAAACTAACATAGCTATTCAACATGGCCATTGAAATAGTGGATTTACCCATGAAAAATGGTGATTTTCCATAGCTTTTTGTATGTTTACCAGAGGGTCAAGTCCATTGAATCCCAATCGAAGGATTTCCTCTTCCTTTTTCCAAACAAAAAAGACGACTTGATGGCACAACGACTTTTGGTGCCCCCCCACACATTTTGTGATGGGTCCTGCACCGTTGAACAACGGTGCGGATTCACCCGAACATTGAACATTGCAACGTTCTCCCAATGATGTATAAGGATAAAGGATCTGAACAGAAGGAAATTCATGACAAATGCTGGATCAGTGGGTTGATGAGCCCCCAATTGCTTTGCTGAGGGAAACTCCAACTGCAGGCTCAAACTCCCAACACCCGCAATGGGGGGAAAATTGGGGAGACAAGACTCGCTGATAAGCAGGGTTGCAATCCATTTACTTTGGGATATTTATTGCAGCTCTTGGATTCCCATGATGTACCATCCAGCAGTCCTGTTTTCTGGCGAGATTCCATTTATATCCATTTCGTGGGTCTTATGTCTCATTTTTTTCCTCATTTCCAAAGACGTCATGTGTCAAGTTGTCCAAATGAATTCCCGTCTTCTTCCCTCAAACTCCCATTTCTGGTTCCCCCGGGGAAATCTGTGGAATATGTCCCTGACGTCGGGCAATCACTGCCAACCAGATCCAACAAACCTCAAAACAGTTCCGTGATAAAAATGTGCAGATAACATAGGCTGCCACAGAATTCAATGGTTTGTATCCAATGGTATACCCCATCAACCCCAAATCATATTCAGTTGGTGAAAGATATGTCGTCACAAACCCTGAATATATCCCCATAAATATCCCCATATTTTATCCCATTAAAATCTGTTCACAAAAATCTTCCAGAAAATCTCCCCACTTTTTGGTAAAATACCCTATGTCATGGGACCCCCCAACCCCCCACTCCCCTGCACCTTGCCGCGCAGTTGGCACAGCAGGTGCCTCGCCTGGAACCACCGGAGCCTCTGAGTCCGACGGCTTCTGCTCCGTCCCTTCCTGCGCCTGGCGGCTCCGAAAAACCGCATCGCCTCGATTTTTCTTGGTGTCGCCCCCATAAATTTCCCATCAATCTAAATGGAATCGGCCCATAGAATCAAAAAAATGATATAAGAAACGCAAGATATATATATATGTATATACTGTAAATATATATATACCATAGAAACCCATAGGAACCGCATAGAATCCTCAAGATATCCCCATTACATCCCTATTTTTGGGCGTCCATGTTCGGATAATCCCATCTCATGATCCACGATTGGTGCTTCCTCCCAGTAAGTGGCTTAGTTCACCCCAGTTCTAGGTGAACTAATCCTACTTGGCCCATTTACCAGGGTGAACTAACCTACTTACTAAGTGTTATAACCCTAGTTATAATCTATCACTTGGTTGATGAACCTACTCCTTATCACAGGGATTTATAACCTTAGTTACCCTTTGGTTGTTTAACATAGCTATGGAGGCCATGGCTCATAGAAATAAAAGATTAAAATGATGATTTACCTATTAAAAATGGTGATTGTCCAGTTCGCTATGTTAAATTACCAGAGGGCACCATTGACTATTAGGTATTAATAGTATTGGCTATATCAGTTACATCCCCACTATATCATCTAGTTGTATACCCATATAACCCCATATAACCTGCGGGTATATCTAAGTAAATCCCAGTTCCCTTTCCGGATATCCGTAACGAAATCCCATAGGATTTCCCCAGATGTGGGATGAAATCCCCAGCGTTCACGTTTTTCGCGCCTCCATGGCCTCTAGTTGCGCCCTGACGCAGCTCGTCTCCCAGTGGACGCAATGCGACTCTTCGCTGAGCTCCCGCAGCTCAGCAATCCTGGGAAGCGGAAAAATGGGGGAGTTCAATGGATTTCACCAAAAACCCGAGGAAAAACCTTGGGATTTCACCCAAAATCCAGTAGAGAAATGCTGGGAAGTCATGTTAAAATGATAAACATTTCCACCAAACGAAATGGTGATTGAAATAGACCATAAACCTCTGAGGTTTATGAGATTGGGTATATCATGGTATATCCGTATAACTGGGATGATGTAGATCACCCCCAAACAGCAAGCGTTGGGGTCATCAGTTACCAACTTTCAACCCAACTTTGACCTTTAAAAAATTGACCCCAACTTGACCTTTAAGTGTCACTTTCGAGGGGTTGCTTGGAAAGTCCGGAGACCAGATGTTCAGAAAATGATGAACTTCCTCCAAAAAAGAGAGAAAATATATGGATGATACCCTCTGGTAAACTAACATAGCTATGGAAAATCATCATTTTTAATGGATAAATCCACTATAAATGGCCATTTTCAATAGCTTTTTGTATGTTTACCAGAGGGTATTGATGGTTATTCTCCTTTGGAACCCCGAAGAAAACTCCGAAAATTGCTGCCTGAAGCCCAAGCCGCCCAAGCCCAACCAAGGTACTGTCGCTCACGCGCCATGGCAACCATCTCTTGAGCCTGCGTGGAAAGAAGGGGCTCCCAAAATGATGGCTGTCTGTTGGTTAACTATACCCTCTGGTTATTTAACATAGCCATGGAAAATCCCATCTCTAAATGGAGGTTTTAATGGGAAAATCATCTACTACAAATGAATACAAATGACCTGCATTGATATCACCATGTTTATTCAGATGGGAATTGGATGTTGGGGTAATTGTTGTACCAACGTGAGAAATGACCATGAATATATGGGAGATATGGAGATTTCATGGGGATCTAACCATTAAGAATAGGGGTTTAACGGGAGTTGATTCGGAGTTGATGGGAATATTGACCAACCCATGGGAATATTGAGTTGGTGCACTACCATTTCACTACCATTTACCTGCTGGCTTCTAAGTGTGGAGATTCATTGGAAGTCGGATGCAGAAAAAGCAGTCTTTATACCTGTGGGGGCCTTTGCCTGCACATCACTTACACAGTAATTTATCATTTGGGGGTACGAAAAAAAAAAAAAACAAGTTTAAGAGTTTCTGGGACTAGGTGTACGGTAAGATTTGTTGTGTATGACGCAAATGAAGTATGCGATAAAAGTGAACTGAAATCGAATCTTGCAGGAAACATGCCCTAAATAGCCAATTCAAATTTGGCTCATGAACAAATACCCTCCGGCAATCAGCCACATAGCAATTGGAAAGCCTCCAGCGTCACCGCGTCGCGCTCCTCCTTGCTTCGAGCTTCACCTGCTTCAAACTTCAAGGAAAGTTGATGATGGGAATGTAAAAATTAGCAGATTATATACCAGCTGGTTATTTCACATAGCCATGGAAAATCATCGTTTTTAAGTTCGGTAAACCATCTATTTAATATATTTCAATGGCAATTTTCAAGTTCGCAAACTGTTAGTCATTACCGGAGGGTAGCCTTTTTAAAAACCAGGTATTTGACCTGATTTGACCAGTGAATCCAACGAGCTGCTGTTTTCTTGACCCACAGACTATGACAGAAGGATGACAGGATGACTGCTTACGAGAATGACAAATAGTGATCACAAAAAAAGTGTCATCACAATCCCCAAGACTAACCACAAAACCACAAAACAACACCATAAAATTTAACTACAATCCCATTATACGTTGCAGTACCCATTATCATTTGATTAAAGGCCCCTGTAGTATCATAGTTATCATCACCACGATAAATAGTTGGTTCTAATTTCCCCTATATAATGATCATTGTTCTTGTTATTACTATATCATATCATTGTTTTAGGTGATGATATTCTCCCATTATTGATGAGTCATTTGATTAGTACTTCGATATATTCAATTGTAATGCACTGTAGTACTGTTCTAGTCCCCACGAATGCCAAATAGTTGATTATGACTATGATTCCCACGAATCCGTATCAATGGCGGTTTGATTACAGTATATGCGTGTATAACAGTCCCAAAATGATAGATTTTGAACGACGGGAGAAAAAAAAATCACGAAGTTCAGCAAATCAAGAATTCAAAGAGTCAACTAGTATTACAATTGTCCCCACTGAGGTGACCAAACCGATTTGAATGTGGTCATTCGATTCATTGTAGTCCCATTATAGTACCATGGCATGGTCCCCACTAAAATGTCTAACGTGGTAAACCGCAATAAATCAGCCCATTCACCAGCCATGACTGGTCATGGTGACCATGGCATTGGCCGACTCCCACGTCATCTTCGTCGAGACGACATGATGGGACAATTTCATGGGACAATTTGTTGGAGACTCCCACATTCAAATCTTTATTGGTCGTCTTAAATCAAGAGAGTATGACTGGTTGGTGGTTTTAACCATCTTGAAAAATATGAGTTTGTCAATGGGAAGGATGACATCCCATATATGAAATGGGAAAATATAAAATTCATGTTCCAAAGCACCAACCAGATGATGATTTAAATGTAGTCCAAAAGATGTTCCCATTATAGTACCATGTAGTGCCATGGAAAAGTACCATTCAAAAGTCATATCAAAAGTCTCCACTAAGATGACTCTCCACCAACCTTCCAATATCTGGGATAAAACAAATATATCATATCTTACAAAAAGGTATTAATAAGTATCATAATATCTGGAAAATGACTATCATTATTAGTCCCACTATCATAAAATGGTCATTGAAACTATATCTGAGATCATCTCATCATGATTCCAAGGTATGAAACAAGGTGTGCAACTTATAGAACTATCATTTTTTATACGTACTCCAAGCCGCGCCACCGCAGCTTGGACCGTTTCCGCGTGCCTCGTTTCATCAAGGCCTTCCGCGTCGTCTCCACCGCCCTTCGTCGGTCCAGGCGCAGCTTCTCCTCCGCCTGTTCCAGGCGTCCTATGGCGCGACGCTCCTAGCGAAGCGCCGTGGAGAACGGGGTGACCGGGGTGGCCCTTAAAGGGAACCACCGACCACCGGCGACCCCAAGGAGTTGGAAAAATCCCTGGGATTTCTGGATGTTTCTCTACTTAGCTCTCCTAATCAGATAACCAGATAGCTGAGCCCGCGACCAGGATCGCCCTTAGGACATGTTGAATCACTCTGATTAGTAAGTCCCCCAAAGTCAGTTATATAAATAGGTGTATATATATAAGATCATCAGTATAAATAACCCTGGTTGGTAAGTCCCCCAAAAAAAAACTACATCATTAGTATACGCCAGTTACTAACCACTTAAGAAATCCTCCAAGCACCACCTGCAGCTCCAGTCCTCTTTACTCACCTCCTCTACCCCTCGCAGCAAAGCATCGCGCTGCCGTGCTAAGTGGGTCACCTCTCCAAAAGGCCGGTGGATGACCAGCGGACATGGGGAAAATCGAGCCACAAAAATTGCCACCGCACCCGCTGGTGAAGTGATGAAAATAGAGATTTCACCAAGAGAAATCATGGATTTAACATATTTAACCAGCTTTTAGTGGGTGATTTATGTGATTTAAGCATCAAGTCCATAGAGATCTAGCCAACAAGAGTGGCAATTTGACCGTCAAAAGAAAGCTTTCGCCAGCTGAGATTTAACCATCAAAAATGTGGCTAAAGGCCAACGAAAACTGACGGATTTTACGCACAAAAATGGTATGTTGGGAAGCCATCCATTGGTTTACCCTCTGGTAAACTAACAGATCGCTATTAAAAATGGCCTAGTCGAAATAGTGAGTTTTCCATAGTTTTCCCATTAATAGCATGGTGGATCTTTCCATAGCCAAACCCTTAAATTACCAGAGGGTATCCCCCATTCTGGTCATTGGTAAACCATTCCGTTCACACTGGGGATGGTCCCTGGGCCAATGATAACCGCGGCCACCCGCTTGGCTGCAGCATCTGCATCCCGGGTGGCCGAAACGCAGGCCTAGGCGCAGTTGCCGGGGCAGGGAGCGACCCAAAAATAAGGACTTGAGCCACAGCACAAAGATTCTGATTTTACCAGCAAAAAAAAAAACGGTTCGCCTCAATTTCCGAGGCAACGAAAACGAGTTCTACGGGAGAATCACCTTATCTTCCTGTGTTAGTTCATCTGCACCAGGTCTTGATGTTGAGATCCAGCTGACTTGGGGATGGTGCCAGGTCCAACTCCCAACCCTCTCAGTTTCGAACATCCTCCAAGTATTGCTTTCTATCCTGCGGCTGCAGAGGCTGCAGAGGCTGCGAATGGGGACCTATGGGGACCAACCTCTACCATCGTTCCACCAGACAGGTCGGATGTTCACCAGCAACTTTTCTGTGGCACTTTGGACCATACATCTCGAAAAAAAAACTCGTGAAATGGTCACATTGAGTGGAACCATGTGGATCCCATACCTGCAGGATAGCCCTGGTGAACCACGGCAGAATCAGCCGTCCCAAGGGGGGATGGAAAACATCTCTGTTGCGTAATGAAAATGTTCGGTTCCGTCGCTTAGGATAGCCCTGATGAAAAACTCCAAATAATTTTCTGATCCCTCCGGTCATTCGGCAGGTAGAGCGAACTGGAGATTGTCCTCATTCGTTTGGTATATCATCATGTTCATCATCTATAAATAGGCAATTTTCCAATAGCAACTGTTGAACAACCAGAGGGTTTCTCGAATCATATACCCTCTGGTAATTTAACGTAGCTATTGAAAATGACCATTTATAGTGGATTTTCCCATTAAAAATGGTGATTTTCCATAGCTATGTTAGTTTACCAGAGGGTAACCATATATAGCCATGTCCCAAAAATATCCCTATGCCATCCCCATGGCTGGTTTTGTATCCCCTCCAGTCCATCTTCACAGTCATCATCCCAATTTATTTCCAAGCTACGTCACCCGCATCAACTCTGGCCATTTAGAAACAGGTCGATTCCTAGACATGAACTATGACCAGTGGTATGATTATCCGGTAACCTCAAACCATGCCTATCAATATACATACACATACCCAATACCATCCTATCATGAATTGTATGTTGAGGTATGGTATCCCAACCTACTACTTTAATACCATCCACCAAAGGCAATGAGCGTTGAGGTATGGTGCCCAACTTAATGAGGAGTCAACCAATCCACACGCACTAACTGTTGATGGCCCATTTTTGCAGGTACGATCATCACATTCATGTGAGTACTCAGTACTTGGGCTCATCCCACTTACGAAGTAGGTTATATCCCTGTTTATAAGTGGGATAAGTGGGGCTAATCCACTTGCGACTAGGGTTACAACATGTTATAATCACTTAGTAAGTTGGAGACACCAAGATAGGCCATCCTACACATTGATAGTACCCAAGAAGCCATGCCGCAATGCCTGCACGTCGCGTGCTGCTTGCCGTGTCCGCTCAGGAGCTCTTGCCTTGACTCATTGAAACATGGAAAGGAGATATGGCTATGAGCCAAAACCCTGGTACCCTAGGTACCCTCAAAAAAAACTAACAGGTGTTGACCCATCCCCATATCTAAACCATGATAATGATCTCTGAAACAAATCCATTAGATGAAAAATAGTGATAGGACGAGAAACTATAAAAGTGTCCAATGAAAACGATTGCTCTGAATGATGTTTAAGTTTGTTTTGCAAGTGTTTTGATTAAGATATTAGAATGATCAAATGATTGTGATGTTTAAGATTGTTTCAGCATGTTCAAAAAACTACAAATGAATGTTCACATTACAAAAAATGATGAACATTGAGTGTTCGACAATGACCCAATGATGAAAATAGGTGTTTGACCAAGCAGGATGTGTGTTTTAGCCAACCCACGTGATAGAATCCATGGTCAGCATTGAATATATATATATATATATTGGACAACAACTGGTTCGCACCTACGAGATACCCCTAAGAATTGTGTTTTTTTTGCATGGCTACTACCAGTCAGGTGATAACCAGTCAAGTTGTGGCCACAATTCACTTCAGTCACTCCTCCAAAAGTCAAATGTTAGCCCCAAAAGCCCAAATCCCCTGTAGCCAATTTTGTCGATTTATGTATGATTCAATGGCTGGTTGGTGGTTTCAACCCCCCTGAAAAATATTAGTCAGTTGGGATGATTATTCCCAATAGATGGAAAAATAAAAAATGTTCCAAACCACCAACCAGATGGATATTCAGGGGAACTGGGGCCAGCGTTTCCCAACACCAAAGTGAGCATCACAATGGCTGAGGCAGCCAATCTCAACCCTTAATATCTCCTGAATCCCAATGTTTGCTGGATAAAACCCCCATGAAAGAGAAATCATTCATGGATTTCCATATCTCAACCTTTCTCATTGCCAATCTTAGGTTTCCCGAAAATAAAATGATGGTATATGTTTCTTTTAATGCTATTCCCACTGTTAAACCAAAGAACTAAAACACTCGTTTCTCCCACCTCGTGGCACTCCAAGCTTCGTGTGGCCCAGTCAATCCAGGCCTCCAGGCCACCGAAGTTCAAGATGTGGGAGAAGGGCTGGATCTGACCCACAAAAAGATGTTTTATTTATTAGGGGTTATGTTATGATAAAAAGATATGTATACAAGTAAATTTAAATTTAAACATATATATATATATATCCATCGACCGACCGACCGATCGATGGGTCTATCGATATATCTATCTATTGATCTATCCATGGATCGATCTATCTACCGGTTTGTCTGTCTAACCTAATCTAATCCAATCTAATCTACTAATCTATTTTATTCTATTCTATTATGTTTTATTCTATTCTCTTCTCTTCTCTTTCGTCTCTCCAATCAACTGGTGATGTCCCAGTTTCCCCTTTACAAGAAACGAAAACGCATGGCATAGAAGGTTCCATCCTTTTCCCCTCACAATGAGTGTGACAGATGTGTTCAATTTAGAGGTGTTTTGTTTGGAGGGCTAGGACTGTGAACCAACAAAAATGAAGACATGCCAACCAGAATCAGGATTTCACAATTTTAACCAGCGTCAATCGGAGATAGTCACATGTTGATAGGGATTAGCATCCTTATCAACATGTTTTGGATGCGATGCACATCTCAGCTCTGTTGACTATCCTGGATTTCTAAACTCGATGAGGGTTCTGGACCCAATCATCGTCAACGCAATGTTTGAAAATGTTAAATCATAAACCGTAAAGTATTCGGTGTAATGAATGCATAGATCATGTTCAAAGAAACCTTCATCTCCTTAATTTAATCTTATGTTTATGAGATTGAATGGTTCAATAAATTAACCTCCAGTAAATTAACATGACGACCCTGCCATCCATCGGGGTTGGAAAATTAGTTTCCACTCAAAGTGGTTTCCTTTCGGGGTCAAACTGTTAATTTACCAGAAATATTTTGGCGAAAAAAACCATTAAAAAAAAACCATCTCCTCCAACCCGCACGGTGGCACCATGCCTTGAGAGCCATGGGCTTGGCCTCATCTTCAAAGCGACCTTCAAGGGCCTGGGCCTCACAGCGAGGAGTTTTTTGGGTTCGTTCTCTATGGAAAAAACGATGGTACCCCCTGGTAAACATACAAAAAACGATCGAAAAATCACCATTTTTTCAATAGGTAAATCAACGAACTAGGAGAAAAAAGGGCCTTTAGATGGCCGTGTATTTTTTTGATTCATGCGATGTTGCTGATCATGTTTGATGTGCTCGTGCCAGTAGGAATCCGTGTGATTTTAGTGTAAAGGCCTTGAACGCCTTAGTTCCAAGCAGAAAAATGAAAACAGTCATTTCGCCTACACGAAACCTCCATTTTGGGGTTTTATTCAAAGCCCCCCATCTCATGCGTTTTCACAATTGTTCAGCCGTCTTTTGTTCACAGCAGCACTTCAAGTTCTTCCAAGAACCTTTTAGTACAGTAGCGTAGCATGACGTATGCGTGGAAGTCCAAGAGATCGTACAGTAGCGTAGCATGACGTATGTGTGGAAGTCCAAGAGAACGTACAGTAGCATAGCATGACATATGTGTGAGAGAGCCAGTGACGTTCTTATCCCACCCCACCCCACCCCCCACCCATGAATACATGCCCCAACCGACAGCCACAGCGTAGCATCTACTTCGTGTGCAAGTTCACATGAACGTTAATACATGGCCCACCCCACCCACCTCCGACCCCCCACCCCACCCCAACACAACACCACGGCCGTCTAAATGCCGTGGTCCAACTAAATGGCCATGTTCAATAGCTATATATGAAATTACCAGAGGGTAATGGATATATCTATAACTGAGCAAAAATTGTGTTTGAATGGAAAATCATAGGATTTACTGGAGACGTAACGGGATACACGACCTAGTCGCAGGTGCAGTTGAGGTTATCAATGGATATAAACATGGTTATAAGCCCCATGGTTGAGATAGTATAACATCGTATCACTGGTTATGTATCCACTCAGAACATAAACTACACCCCAAAGTAATATAATAAACCACTTATTCCTATAAGGAACATCCACACTGATATATGGGTATTATTACCTACTTATACCTACTTGCTGACTGATCTACAGGTCTGCTCCCAACACCCCAAGCAAAATTAAGAGGCAAAAGTGCCCATATGTACCCTCTCTTTTGGCTATCGTGTACCTGAATAGATTTTTTCGCAACTCGCATCAAATGCCCAGCGAATCTTCAGATGTTTTCTGATGGAATCCACAAGGGGATTCCATGGTGGTTTTGAACCATCAAGTCTGGAGACTTTACATGACTTTACATGACTTTACATGTCCATCAAATCTGGAGATACGCATGATTTGTTCAGCATTTTTTATCTGAGATTTTATGGTAACATCTCCATTTTGCTCATGAAATCCCGGGTTAGGCTTGGCTAAATCCAATAGTGATATATAAATCCAATGACAAAATCTATCCATCCCCTCCAGTGCATAATCCAAATGGCTTGCAAAGATCATCCCCAAATGATGACATTGGCGGGTTTCAGTCCATCTAAAAAATTGTCAAAAACGGGATCAGCATCCCATTTGTTGGATGGGAAATGCGAAATTTAATCATCAGCATAGCCAGCACCGATGATCGAATTCCATCCAATTCTCTCATAGTCCTGAGAAAATAATCTTTGAAATTCTCCTGAAATCACAAAAATCTTAGTTTCTGATCATCTATTGAAATCTATTGATCATCTTAAATCAACTATTGATCATCTTAAATTTCTGAGGAAATCCGCCCCATGATGCCTCACCAAAATGGACACATGAATTTTGGTGAGTCAATTTTTTCCTGCCTGTCTCCGCCGTAGCTCGAAGACTTCGCGTTGATGTTGTAGCTCGGCCTTGTGCTTTTCGCCCAGAAGTCACCCACCAAAGCCCCAAAGAAAAATGGGGACTTCGTCCATCGGCTTGGGAGGAAGCGAGATGAACCACAGGGATTTTGACATCGAGTTTTTGGCAGCAAAAATGTTGGGGACTAACTTTCTGTAATCATCGGGTTGGTGGTTAAAACATGTTAAAACCCCTCTGAAAAATGATGGAGTTCGTCAGTTGGGATGATCATTCCCAACTGAATGGAAAAATAATCCAAATGTTCCAAACCACCAAGCAGTCATTGTTTGGCTGAAAATGGAAAGATATCACCTGAGACAAAATGAGAAAAATGACCACGGAAGCTGGGAAGATCACGCAGCAAAATTGGGTATTGACCCAAAACAAATGGAGAATTGAATATCAAAGAAATGGTAAAGCTCAGCAGCAGATCTCTCTCAGTGGCAGATGACCTCTTTTTTTTGTCACTCTATGTCACTCTCCATCCTATCTAAAAGTAGTGAACCTCCTGCTAAGTGGGATGAACATCCAAGTGCCGACAAGAAAATCTGTGAAACTGGGATTTCATTGAAATCATCAATGAGCTGTCCTGTCGCATCCACAGTGTGCAACGTAATGAGGACCACCACCACAACAGCAACAACAGTCGCATCACTAAGGGGATACATCCTGCATGTCGAGTTTTCTTCAGGACGATCCAACTGATCCTGAACATGAAATCTGTGAGTTGTCTGAAAATAGGATACCCCAATTTTTACCATCTGAAGCCATTGGGGGAAAAAAAAACAAAAAAAAAGCATATAATCACCATGTTCTCTATTGAAATTGCAGTACATTCGGGCTACATATCCCTTTTCCGATACACCCAAATCCAACTTAGGTTGGTTACAGATCCCATTCTTGTGCCATTGTCCCATCAAATCCCAAGTCGTTGATGATGGAATCTCCATGTCTGATGACTTGGCAGATCATCCCAGGGATCTTAAGTGGATCCTAACCCTCAAGAAATATGCCCATTTCGTAGGTTTATTCCATTAATCTAACTGGGTGAACTAACTATGGTTTGTGGTTATTACTGGCGTATTCCATATATATATATATCATATGCTATATATATATATATGTGACATGATATATGTATGTTATATAATATAATATACATAATATATATATATATAAGATATATAAGATATATAAGATATATATATAATATGATATAATAAATGATAATATAATATAATACAATACAATACAATACAATATAATATATAATAAAATATAATATAATATAATATACATAGTATATAATCTATAATATAATGAACAAATATAAGATAATAAAATATAATATAATATGTATAGATATATATATATATACAGAATATATAATATCCACCAGTTACAGAGGACCCCCCAGTCCCGGCCTGAACCGCGTCCACCTCCAAGCGCTGGGCCAAGGGGACGTCAGCACGGATCTCCGGTGCCTCGACTGGGAAGTCTCCGGGAAGTCGCTTTTTTTAGGGTGAAAATGGCCATAGAAAATGGTCGTTGATTTATATATCATATATCCATGGAAAAATGGAAATTTTCCAAATTCTTCAGAAATGTTAATAACTTATTTTCCTGGTGCTGGTTTTTGTTGCTTCTCTGATATGTGGAAATCCATTAAAATTGGCTGTTACAAGGGGGGGCACATCCGAATATATACCCATGAAAAATGGTAATTGTCCAAATTCAGAAAAATGAGGTGAAAAGAAACATAATTTGTACATAATATCATCAACAAGTCACGGGATCTGGTTTAATAAAAGGATATTATTAACTACAATCAATGTAATGGTGGTAAAACAATGCCATAAACCACCCATGACTGGGAATGGTAAACATAGCACCTATAAAAATGGTGACTGGGGGATGATTTATGGCATTATTTTACCAACATTACTTCCGTAATTTCAGGAACTTGAGTGATTCCAGTAAGTCTAGTGCTTTAGTAACTTCAGCATAATTCAGCAACTTTAGGGTGGTAAGTCCAAGGGGAAAATTATAAACAGACACCATTTAAGGGGACGGGTTCGATGTCCACCAGCTATGGTAATATTTGGGATGATTGGTGATTGGGTTTATTTTACCACATTTACTTCATATAGCGGGGTATTGGAATTTCAAGCAAAAATAATGGGACAAGTATCATAAGAAATATGTATATGTCTATCACTTGGGGGAACATATGGGATTTCCTAAAATGGGGGTACCCCTAAATCATCCATGTTGATAAGATTTTCCAATATATTTTGGGTTTCCCCCATTTATGGAAACCCCCATATTGTGTCACTCTTCAAAAGTGAATCTTTAGTGGGATGCTGTCTATCTATTCCATGAAAATGGCGACCAAGACCAGGCCTAGAAAAAAACCAGACACTCCAACGTTTCTCAAACGGCTTCCCAAAGTTGGATCCAATTTTTCCAATGGAATCAAAACAAAAACCGGGTTTACTGTAACTATATGACTATGTTCAACCTAGAATTTCTAGGTGTTTCACCTAGCAAAAGAATCACACGTCAATCCTGTGGGTTTCTTACGTCCAGGGCTTTGATCTTGGTGGCCCCTGGTGGGGACCATGCCAGGCCCTCTGGGTCTCGTTTCTCCTTGGCTCCCCATCTTTTTGGGGGATATAGGTACCCCTAGATGAGGGGTTCCAGAAATTGGTGTACCCCAAAATGGATGGTGTTTTTTTCATGGAAAGTCTGGAAAGTCGAAAAAATTGAACGGATGACTTTTTGGGTACCCCCCTTTTAGGAAACCTCCAGATACTAACAAAATCCCTTTTCCAGGCAATCATCTCAACCAATGTTCATAGGGAAAATGAATGAAAATGAGGTATACCCCCAAAATTCTGAGAATAACATGCTTTTCCCCCATGAATTCCCCATCACAAAACCCCATAAGTTCCTTCAACCGAGCAGCGAAACGCGCCCGCTGTGCCAGGTGCAGAATGTCTTGGGCGCGGCGGTCTAAGTCTTGGTGAATCTCAGCCACAGCACTGTCCAAGACCTGCTGAAGAGCTGGGACTGGCACCAAAAGCTGGGAGATGTTCATTCTAAGTGGTCTTTCATCTGTTTTTTCGTGGATGTTTACTGATGTTTACTGATGTTTACTGGGCTTTTGTGGATTTGTCATGGTCTAGAATCTAGAATGGAAAGAGGAATTCTTCTCTTCACCCGTCTAAAATTGTGAAAAGTGTGAAAATGGTGCTCATGTTTCATATCCAGTAGGAATCATTTTTTGTTAGGCATTAAATCATTATGCAAGATAATTCATCATCAAGTAAGTAAAACGATATAATTATTTCCTTCATAAACACCGCCCAAAATTTAAAATGGTTTAAGATGTTTGAAGATCAAATGAATCAAATTGTATACAGGGTATCAATCCTGAAACACGGGCACGCAGCCGTATTAGTCACACAAAATGGGAATTGTGCCACAAGAATGGACGTTGAACCGAAAAAATTGGAGTCAAACCACCGAAAGAACGGTGGTTTGAGGCGTTTTGGTTTCGGGAAACCATCAATTTGATGGCTCTAAGGCACTTTCGTGGATTTATGCGGGATGGTGATGGTGATCTCTACCAACAAAACCATTCTTTTCAGAAACGGGGATGTCAGGAGATAATACTCAACCCAAGAGCGCACAACCTACAGTAGCTGCCAAAAATTGGGGTTACTTTTGACCTACGGGATACACCCATACGCCAAAGTCCTTGCAATGTTTGCGTTTGACAGCTATTCCCAATCAAAACGCTCGCCACGACCCCTGTCCCGGCACAGACCTTGCAAAACCCCTTTCCCCATTGGAAACGCTAGCTTTAACAAGCCTTGACCAAACTATCATGGTTCTATTCGTTTTTGATCGAATCCCATAGGAACGCGGGTTTCCAACGGGCCTTTTTTCGTGGGCACTGTTGACGCCCACAAACAAAAACGCGAAGCAGGCCCTTTTCCCAGTTTGTATACTGCAGGATGGGTTCTGATAAAGGAAAAAAACGAGGTCCAAAACGAGGTCAAAACGAGGTACGGAAAAAGCCCCGCATCTACACACATGGACTTTGGCCCGCAAGCCGCAAACCTGCCCTTCCTTGGATCACTGGTAGCGAAACAATGACAATTTGCAGAATCCCAGCACACCGCCATGGCAGTGTAGAGATGATAATCCCAGCGTTGTGTAGAAGTACCCGGAAACAGCAACAGCAGCAGCCGTCGAACCAGCAGCCGCAGCAACAGCAAGACCCCAGTAGCTGCAGAACCCAACAGCAACCATCCCAAACACAATGAGAACGCAACTAGCAAGATTAAAGCACTATGCTAATAGTAAAACAACGCCCTACCCCAAACACAACCTAAACGCCGCTTCGCCACTTTAGGTCTACATGAGATAGTAAAACAGCAACCTACCCTAAACACAAGCTAAACGCCGCATCGCCACGACTTCCACAAAAGCCTTCCCCCAAGCTAATTTCAAGATTTTTGGGATTTCGCCACGACTTGGGCAGTTGGGAGTATGGAATCCATCTTTGGTCTCCATCAACTCAGCGGGAGGTCATCCCAGGAATGACGACTCAATGGATCACCGAGGTTCCTAACCTATCAGAATTTTGGTTCTCATAGGTGGGCAATTTGAACTGCTCCAGGCATCTTCTCAAGTGAAGTTGAGTGATCTTCACCAGCAGACCAAGTAGCTGTATAACATATTATACTGGTTGGTGGTTTTAACCATCTTAAAAAATATGGGAAGGATTGTCCCATATATTATGGAAACTAAAAAATGTTCTAAACCACCAACCAGTACAACATGTTAATAAGTTATAACCTACAACAGAATCGGTTTCGACCAACAAAATCGTGAAAGCGCAAGT